CTGCAGGGAGCGGGGCGGGGGGCTCAGCAGGGGGCGCTCTCCTCGGCAGTCAGCGCTGGCCCCAGGGTGCTGCAGGGAGCGGGGCGGGGGGCTCAGCAGGGGGCGCTCTCCCCGGCAGTCAGCGCTGGCCCCAGGGTGCTGCAGGGAGCGGGGTGGGGGGCTCAGCAGGGGGCGCTCTCCCCGGCCGTCAGCGCTGGCCCCAGGGCGGCCTAGGGGGCGCTGTGCTGCAGGGAGCGGGGGGCTCAGCAGGGGGCGCTCTCCCCGGCCGTCAGTGCTGGCCCCAGGGCGATCTACGGGGCGCTGTGCTGCAGGGAGCGGGGCGGGGGGCTCAGCAGGGGGCGCTCTCCCCGGCAGTCAGCGCTGGCCCCAGGGTGGCACTAGGGGCGCTGTGCTGCAGGGAGCGTGGCGGGGGGCTCAGCAGGGGGCGCTCTCCCCAGCCGTCAGCGCTGGCCCATTGCCCCAAGGCGGTGCTAGGGGCTGTGCTGCAGAGCTCTGCCTTTCTGATAGCTCGAGGCCCTGACTCTCCCAGGCGGGGGAAGCCCCTGCGCTGTGCGGTGTCTCAGGGGAAGCCTGCCCCCAGCACTCTGGGAGAGAGATGTCCCTTCTTCCATTTGCTGCCCCAGCTGTTGCTGGACCTGGAGCGGCCTCTCTCCGGGGTGTCTCCCCCTGCCCCAGCCCTGCAGCGGGGCCCAGTCGGGGCTCCTCTCCATGGGAGGAAGGGTTAAGGGCCCAGGTGTGTTCAGGCCCTGCTCGCCCTTGCCCCTCACTGTGCCCCACAGGCCAGCTGGAGGTGATTCTGGACCGGCGCCTCATGCAGGACGACAACCGTGGCCTCGGCCAGGGGCTGAAGGACAACAAGCGAACCTGCAACCGCTTCCGCCTCCTGCTGGAGCGCCGCACCACGGCCAACAAGGTGAGGGGGAGCCCTGCCAGTGGAAGGCCAGGCCGTTCTGCCCCCCGCCTGGGCTGCACCGGTGCTCCAGCCGCCTCGTGCCGTGGGGTCCTGGGGGTGAGCCCAGCTGCTGCGGCCGGGGGGCAGATGCCGAGCGGTGTGTCCTGTGGCTCCAGCGGGGGCATGCTGTCGGAGTCACCACGGGGTGTTGGTTGGACACTGGGCTTCCCTTCCTTCCCTGGCCCAGGCTGTAGCGGAGCGGTGCTGTGCAGCTGTGAGCCAGTTGTGCCCTCCCACCCCAGCAGTGGTCGCACTGCAGCGGAGGCGGCAGCTGCTGTGCCCTCGGGGGAGGGGGCTGAGTCTCAGCCAGGTGCCTAGCATTCCCGAATGCTGCGCGGGGCCGGCGAGGTGATGGCACTTTGCCACACAGCTCTTACAACTGTCGCTGTTCTCGTCCCATCTCCCCTGCTCCCACCCCTGTCACTCCCCAGAGCTCCGGCTTCTTTTCCAAACTGGCTTCCGTGTTCAGAGCCTGGCCCTTTTCCGGCCCCCGGACGGGCAGCGGAGAGGTACCTGCTGGCTGCCGCGCTGTCTGGTGACTGTAGCTGGGGCCGCGGTCCCTGTGTAGCCCAGCTGGTAGCCTGAGCAGTAGACAGCAGTAGATTAGGCCTGTGTGCTGCGCATGGGATGGAGCATTGGCCCGAGGGGCGGGCTAGCTGCGGTGGAGTGGGGGCCCTGAACAGCTCAGTTCTGGCCCCCCCAAAGCAGGGAGTGGGGGGTCCTGCCTCATCAGAGCCGATGTGACCGTCGCAGCCCCTGCTGCCTGGACCGGGCGTGTTGCTGCTGCCCGAGTCTCCTGCCACCCCCACTGCCTGTATCGGGGTATTTGGGGGGAGCCCCACGTGGATCCCTGCCAGGGAATTCCCTCACCCTCTGGGTGGGTCTGACCAGCCCGACAGCAGGGCAAGGCTGCCCCAGACCCCTCAACTTGGTTGGTTGCTCTTGTTGCAGGTGCAGGACAGTCGTCCAATCAGCTTCCCCTCTCTGCTGAGTCACATGACCTCCATGCACCTGAACGCAGAGGTGCTGGCGATGCCGGTTACTCAGGAGAAGCCAGCGCCCCCGGCCCTAAGGTCCTTCCAGCCCTTCTCAGGCACTGTCCCCTGTGACTTCCACATCCTCAACCTGCGGACACTGCAGGCAGAGGTAAGAGCCCCGGCCCCATGGGGAGCGAGCCCAGCAGCCTGTCTGCTGGCACCACCACCATGCATGGGCGGGTCAGACTGTCTGTTCCCATCATCCCAGCAGGCTCAGGCCTGGGGTCAGGCCCTCTGCCCAGCTGTACCCATCCCTTGGGCTGATGAGTAATTAACACTTCATTTCATGGAAGGTGGAATTAGGGAGGTAAATGAATCATGAGGCTGAAAACCAGATGTTTGTGCTAAAGAAGGGAAGTCACTAGGTCAGTAGGCTAAAAAGACAGAATGTCTGAGCCAGCTAAGATAAGAGGGAGAACACCCAGGGGACCAGTTACAAACAAATAACAATGGACACGCTAAACTAGGGAAGTAGGGATGAGGTAAAGAGTGTGTGGACGAGCCTGCTGTACCGGGCTCGGTTCCTTGGCATACTCAGCCCAAGCCACTGCAGTGAGATGTTGTCATGGAGTCCCCGGGCGATGCTCTGGAACGGCTCCCTACGAAGCCAGGCAGGACTCTGGGGAAGTCTCCTCTCTGGGAGCAGCCTGTCTGCAGGACACACAGCTCACACGGCTTCCACCTTCGTGGGTCTGACCTCAGAGCATTCAGCATCCTTTGCCCCTCCGTGCGCTTCCCACAGTGAGTCCGCCCAGGTGGGGTCCTGGGGAAGCCAGAGGGTCCTGCCCCCCAACTTTGCAGTCAGACGGGACTCTCAGCCAGCCAGTAACACAGAGGTTTATTAGATGACATGAACATGGTCTAAAACAGAGCTTGTAGGTACAGAGAACAGGACCCCTCAACCAGGTCCATTTTGGGGGGCAGTGAGCCAGACAACCCCATCTGCACAACCCTAACCCTAACCCCAGCCAGCCCCAAATTGAAACTCTCTCCAGCCCCTCCTCCTCTGGGCTTTGTCCCTTTCCAGGGCAAGGAGGTCACCTGATCTCTTTGTCTTCAACCCTTAACTGTCACCTTGCAGGGGGAAGGGCCCAGGCCATCAGTTGCCAGGAAACAGCCTGTCGGCCATTCTCTGTGTCCAAACCCCTGCACACACCTGCCCTCTAGGGCTCTGCAATGATCATACACCCTTACCCCACCCCCTAGATACTTAAGAACTGCCTAGGGGAAACTGAGGCACCCCCACACTATTCAGAGGAACCGTTGAGAACCGTCCCGCTTCGTCACAGAGGTGTGTGACACAAAGGGACCGGTGCTGTGGGACTTGGAGCTCTCGGACCGGGCATCCATCCCCCACATGTGAGTCTCATCATCTCAGCCGAGCTCTGCCGGATGCCAGATAGCGGCTCCGATTGATGAAGGCCAGAGCCAAGGGAGTTCTTGGGGGCCGAGTGGAGAGGTCTCAGAGGGAATCCCAATGTTAGCCGTGCTGTGACTTGACCTGAATCCGGGCGCCAGGAGCAGGTACTGTCTCGTTACTCAGCGGTAGCTGGGCCCAGATCCGAATGGATTTCAGGACACTGAGCACCAGGTTAGATCCAAGCACAAACATCCTGGTTTCAGCCCCATGATCCATTTACCTTCCTGCGGCTGTCACATGCATCTCTGCTTCCCTGTCCCAGGATGAGTCGCTGCCCTCGGCGGAGATGGCTCTGATCCTGCATCGCAAGGGCTTCGACTGTGGCCTGGAGGCCAAACACCTGGGCTTCAACTGCACCACCAGCCAGGGCAAGGTGGGTCTGGGACATGGCAAATAACACCCCCTACCCCCTCACCCCCGACCTGAGTAAGATGGGTCTGGGACATAGCCAGTAACACCCCCTCCCCCCTTTCCCCCCACCAGGGCAAGGTGGGTCTGGGACACGGCTAGTGCCCCCCCGCCGCAGCCTGGGAGCCGACCCACCCTCGCGCTGGTGCTGCAGATCAGGCCTGGGCAGGGCCGGGGAGGAAAGGTTGTATGGGTGGGTGTGGGGGGAGTCTCCTGCTGTGCGCACTGGTGATGAGGGGGCGCCTTCCACAGGGAGCAGCATGCTTTGAGCCTAGGCTAGGCTGTGTTCCCGGGGCAAGGGCTCTCTGTCACATCCTGGCCCCAGTCTCGCAGCCCCCCCATGAGTGGAGGCTGCCTTTCAGTGCTGGCTCCATGCCAGCTGCCTGGGGCCTGCCCCAGCACAAAGCTGGGCACAGCCTGAGATGCCAGCCCCTCATCCCACGCTCCCCTCCTCTCTGTAGTTCTCTCTTGGGAGCCTGTTCCACGGCTTGGAGCTGGGGTTCCTGCAGCCCACCTCGCTGACACTGATGTACCCGCTGGGCGCTGCCTCCCCCAACAGCACTGTGATCCACATGGACCCCATGGAGATCGCCACCTTCCGCATCCACTTCGGGTAGCACCCCTGGCGGCCAGGAGAGGAGCAGCCCAGCCGTGCAGCGTCCGGAACGGCGCAAGGCTGGGAGAGCTGGGAGACCACCCCTGCCTGGGTGGGGCGGGGCAGGGAGCACCCCTCGGGCTGGGGCTGGGGGCAGACACTGCACGGGATGCAGACGGACTTGCAGGAGCAGCTGCCTCCATTATTTATTAATCTGCGTTTTAAATAATGTTTCAAATGGCCAAGCGTGGGGTTTAGGGCACGTGTGGGCCCAGGCCGCTCCCAGTGCTCAGCCTGGCACTGCAGATGCTGCAGCTGGAGAGCGCTGCGTTCTTGGTGGCGATGCTACTGGCTCGGCCAGGAGGCAGGTTGCAGCTTCTCTGATGTTGCAGGAGTCTCTGCTGATCCCCCAGGGAGGTACAAAGCCACCCTGTCCATGTCCCATCTTTCCTTCTGGTGGCAGGTCCCCATTCCCCCGCCCCATGTTGTGGGGTAGCTGGGCAGGTGCTGGAGCCTGCTGGGGTCTGGCTGGAAACCTGCCGCGGGGTGGGTGAGGGGGGTCCGGGCTGGGGAGGCTGAAGCTGCTGGCCGGGGGGGCGGAGGGGGTGGGGGGATGGGACAGTGCGGCTCTAATGGCCACTCTATGGAACTGGAGACTGTGAATTTCCCTGAGTTTGTCGTCAGCTTTTAGGCAAGAAAAGGCCTGTTTGCTCCTCCCGCCTTGTGTCTGGTTTGTGGCTCTTGCTGCTGGTTCCTGTGTGTGGAGAGAGACCTAACCCGGGCCGGGGGCTAAGATCCCGGGGCCAGAGGTGCTGGTTCTGGGCCTGCAGGAGGCAGGGGCTCCAAGGGCCTCTGCCCCCTTCAGCTGGTGGGACGCCCACCCCCCTTCCATTTCCTGCTCTGGGGGGTTCTCTTGCGGCTTCAATTGACTGAGCCCACAGTGTCAGGGAGGGAGGCTTCTCCAGCCCTCCCTGAGAGCCTGCAGCCCCACCCAGCAGGAGGTGCTAAGGAGCGAGTGCCCCTCCACCCAGCCGAGTCCCCTGCTGCCCCCGCCCAGCCGGGGGCAGTAAGGACTGAGTGGCTCCTCTCACTGTTCCTGGCTGTTACGAGCAGTGAGGGAAGGTGGGAAAGCGGAGGGTGTAACAATGCTGGTCCTGGCGTGAGAGTGCCAATTCAGGACAAATTGCTTCAAGCAGGGCAGTTACAGCCCAAGGCTGGGGTTTCTTTGCACACCAAGGCAAATCAAACCAGCCAGAGAGAGAGGACTTTGGTTTTACCCCACTGGCTAACCACAAGTCACACAAGCAATTCCCTTAGACACTCCAGTTTCCCAGTATCCCCACCAGCGCCGCTCGTTATGGGGACAAATGGTTATGAAAACCAATACCCCAGTAAAATAAAAGAGGTTCTCTCATTCCCAAAGGACCAAGCCCCAGACCCAGGTCAATATACAAATCAGATCCTACCCACCAATCACGTTGTTGCCAATCCTTTAGAATCTAAAATCTAAAGGTTTATTCATAAAAGGAAACAGATAGCGATGAGAGCTAGGATTGGTGAAATGGAATCAATGACATACAGTGATGGCAAAGTTCTTGGTTCAGGCTTGTAGCAGTGATGGCATAAACTGCAGGTTCAAATCAGGTCTCTGGAGAACATCCCCAGCTGGGATGGGTCCTTCAGTCCTTTGTGTAGAGCTTCCGTTTGTAGCAAATTCGCTCCAGAGGCAAGAAGCAGGATTGAAGACAAGATGGAGATGAGGCATCAGCCTTTTATAGTCTCTTCCAGGTGTAAGAACCCCTCTTTGTTCTTACTGTGGAAAATTACAGCAAAATGGAATTTGGAGTCACACGGGCAAGTCCGTGCACACTTTGCTGAGTCACAAGGCGTATCTGCCTTCTCTCAATGTATCGCTGATGGTCCTTAATGGGCCATCAAGCAGGCTAGGCAGAGCTGACACCAACTTGTCTGGGGTTTCACCCAGAAGCATAGCACAAGTTTGAAATACAGACAGTATAGAGCCAATATTCATAACTAACTACAGAAATGATACACACAGATAGACAGCATAACCATAAACAGCAAACCATAACCTTGTCTTGGACACCTCATTTAACCCCCTTTATGTAAGATTTGGTGCCACTACAGGACCTTGGTTGCAACAATGATCTGTACGGTCCCAGATTATGTCAATATGTCAATAACGTCACAGAGGGTTGCGCTGGTTCTTTAGTAGACCCCTCCCTGCCCCTCCTGGGAGCCGTAGTTCCAGGCCTCATTCTCCCTTGGGGCTGAGCTGTCTGGCCAGACTGTGTCCCCCCGGGCAGCAGCGCAGTTGCCCTCTAACCAACTGTTCCTCTCGATTTGAGACCCAAGTCTTGGTAATTCTTGTTCCACTAAACTCCACGGCCAGGCTGGCAGCCCCTAGCTGGCAGAGCATTATAGTGCCTGCCTTGTTGACCTGTTTTCTCTGGCAGCTGCCTCGGAGGGATGGAGCGGAAACAGACAAAGCTGAGGTGTGTTAAAGAGGGATAGTAGAGACCGTGAGGGGAGGGAGACCAGCCGCTGCTCTTTCCCCTGGTCACAACACAGAGACAACGGGGCACCCAAGGGAACTGACAGTGAGCAAAAGGGAATATTTTAGAGAATGCACATGTAGTCTGTGGAACTCACTGCCGCTAGATTAAGAGCTGGGTAGGGTTAAAAAAGAATCCGATGTTTCTATGGAGAATGAGAAAGGTACAAAGAAGCAACCTGGCTTCCTCCTGCAGGGCAGGGGCCAAGCCCAACAGCTGTACCCAGGGCTAAGGGATGGCCTGTCAGGGCAGGTTATCCCACTGATACCTTCAGCAGGGCTCCTGTGCCTCCCCCAGAGGCAGCCAGTGCCAAGGAACAAACTAGATGGATACGGGGCTGCTCCAGGCTAACAATCTCACTGCCTATCACTGCTGCTCCCCTGGCCTGGCTGTGGGAATGGCTCTGAATGTGGCTCCTTGCCGCCATGCCCCCGCCACAGCTCCTGGCCGCAGCTGGGTGCGTGCAGGGAATCTGCCCTCAGGAGCAGCCTCCTGAGCATCTCTGGTTGCTATGGGGCCAGTGTCATTACAGGGTGCGGCCCTGGGGCTGTGGAACTGCCCTGGCCTCCCCCAGGGCTAATTACTGCAAGGAAGGGGTGGGGCAGGAGGGTGCCTGCAGCTGCCTCTGGTAGTGCTGAGCACAGCTCCCTGCCCATGGGGCATGCAGGAGGCCACACTCTGCCTTGTTTGTCTCTGCTCTCGGCACACAGCGCCGCTGGCTCCTGTCGTCAGTGCCCCGGAACAGCTAGCGGCAAGGCCTTCCCCGCAGCAGCTTCCCCCTCCTGGCTGGACCCCGTCCCTGCCAAGCCAGGCCCCATGCGCTGTCAATACTCCTTGCAGGCTGCTTGCTAGAGGGCCCTTGTCCCAGGGCTGTGAGCTTGGAGCACCAGGAGACCCTGCACGTACCAAACTGAAGGCCGTGGGATGGGAGCTCAGTGCTGGGGCCGGGCAGTGGCCTTGGGGCATGGGATGGTCCTGGGTACAATGCCAGGCTCAGGCTTGTGCTGCCCCCTAATGAACAGCTCTAGCCCCATGGTGTGGGAGAACCTCCCAGACTGGCCCCCAGGTAACAGGGGCAGGAGGCCTGCCTGAGTCTGCAGAGAGCCTGAAGCAGGAGAGCGGAGGGGAATGGTGGCTCGCAGCAGTGCTGGTGGCTGGAACAGACCAGGCAGGTCTCTGCTGGCAGCTGCGGCGTGTGTGCACAGGTGAAAGGGTCCTGGCAGCCCGTGTGCAGGGTGCCCAGGGCTGGCTGCTCTGTGGGTGGGGCGGGCGGCAGGAGGAAGGGGCTGGCACGCTGCCCCCTCCCCCATCTGCAGGGCACCTATAAGTGCAGCAATTAGCGGCTCTGGCTCCTGAGCCACCGCTACTGGACCTTCTGGCGGGGGCCCAAGGCCCTGCCCCTGGGTGGGGAAGGGCAGGAGGGTGCTTGTCCTGGCAGGCCCTGGCTGGGCTGGGCTGGTTCTCCCTCTGCCCTGCTTGGCAGGGGTCTTCTGAGAGGCCATCTTGTTGCTGGCCCTCCTCCCCGGTGCCCCCCATCCCTGCTGCGCTGCCATTCTCCAGGCCACGCGGTAACAGCTCTGCCTCTGCCCCATGGAACATGACCAGGGCCCGGCCTTGCCAGGTGCTGGCACAGGGGGTTGGATGAGGGGCCTCTCACCCTAGGCAGGAGCATGGCCACCCCATGCCAGCCTCGCCACCCAGAGCTGGGTACGGTTGGACTTGTGCTGGCATAGCACTCCCTACTCCTCTGTGTGCCCTTCCCCACCTGCTCTCCAGCCAGAGCTGCCTTCCCCTCCTGCATCGAATCAGAACTCCTGTCGCCCCCAGGTTTGGCTTTATGAACAGAACTGCCTGTCTGCCCAGGCTAGGCTGCTCCAGGACTCCTCTCTCTGCCCTGCTCAGCCCACACCCTAGATCCTCTCTCCCCAGGGAGCCACTGCCCCGGCCCTGCCTGGGGGAGTCACTAGCACCCACTTTCTTGGCTGACAAGTGGGGCTCAGGAATGCCAACACCAGCCTCAAAAGTGCTTGCCCCACCGGGCACTGGCTCCCGGAGAGGCTCATTAGTGATGTGCCTGCCTCCTTGGCTCGGCCGGGTCCCAGTGGAGCCGGGCAGTAAGTGCAAAAGGCTCCTGCGGAGAGGCCTTAATGGCTGCGCGAGGGAGAGGTGCTTGCTGGGCCCGAGATGGAGGCGGGGGCAGGAGGGGCCGTGGTTTCTGTTTCCTCAGACTGGAGCCTGAGCTGCCTCTGCCCAAGGAGCAGACAAGAAGATGCTGCACAGACTCTTGCTGGGGGGCCTCCTCTGCACAACACTGCCTACCAGCTTCCTCGGCACGGGTAGGACACCCCTCGGCTCCCCAACCCCCTCAGCATGGGTAGGGCACCCCCTCGGTTCCCCAACCCCCTTGGCATGGGCACAGTGCCCTCTCAGCTCCCCAACCCCCTCGGCATGGGTAGGGCACCCCCTCAGTTCCCCAACCCCCTCGGCGTGGGTCGGGCACCCCTTGGTTCCCCAACCCCATTGGCAAGGGCACAGTGCCCTCTCAGCTCCCCAACCCCCTTGGCATGGGTAGGGCACCCCCTCAGTTCCCCAACCCCCTTGGCATGGGCACAGGGCCCTCTCAGCTCCGCAACCCCCTTGGCACAGGCATGGCACCCTGGTCAACTCCCCAAACTGCTCTGACTCCCACCCTGCTAGGTCTCTGCTGTCGCACAGCACTATTCACGCTGCTCATTCCGGGGGGCGAGTGTGCGTCTGGCCCCAAGGGGTTGGTGCAGGCTGGGGCAGAGGTGTGATTGGCACGGCCCTGGAGTCTCTCGTGTAGGCATGTCGGTGCATGTCCAGGGGTGGTGCGCTGTTCCGTGGGGTGTGGCCGGGGTGGGAAGTGTGCCCAGCTGGGTGTGAAGCCGGGCCACATTTCCCCTGCTGCCCTGCTGTCCTCAACTCCCTTCTCCAGCCTGGTCAGGACTAACATAGGACACTGCCCCGCCCCCTCCACGCGGGCAGTCTCCTTTGCCCCCTGCCAAACTCTCGTCCTTGGGGAGAGCGCTGACAGTGACACCAGGGGTCCCTTTGGGCTCAGCGTATCGGGCAGGCACCCTGCCAGCCATGCTGGAGGGTGCAGCACCAGGACTGGGCACTGTGAGACGGGAGCCAGCTCCAGAGGCCAGCATGGTTTGGTACTGCAGGCCCTCTGACACCCCTGCTGTGCTGGACAATCAGGGTCACAGCCCATGGGGTGAGCACCCAGCCCTACCACGGCCAACACTAGGGTGCCCACAAGGAGCCACCGGCCGGCCACCCTTGGCTCATGAGCCGCTGAAAGGCGTGTGAAGCAAGCCCCTCTAGCCAGCGTACGTGGGCGAGCAAGTTGTTCCGGCTTGCGCAGCCCAGAGCCTGAGGGCCACAGGGTGGGGTCCCTGTGCATGGCGGGTCCCAGGCTAGGTCGGATTGTGAGGGAGGACTCAGTGAGCTTCCCCAGGCCACACCCGGCTCGGAGGCCAGCTGTAGCCACTTCCTGGCCATCCCCTGGAAGAGCTTCGGTCCCCCAGGAGGGCTCTCCCCAGCCCATCCCCACAGAGCCCTGGGAAGCTTCAGCCGGTCAGAGCATTTTGTCAGGGTTCTCCTCTTGGTGGTGTTGAGAATGAGGTCACCCTGGGGCCCCCTGAGACTGGGCTGGCCCTGCTCGGTGTCAGGCCTCCCACAAAGGTCTGTGAGCATGGGCCGTCCCCACCTGAGCTAAGGGGGGAGGGGGGACTCCATCAGCTGGTAGCAGTTGTAGGCTGTTATCTGCTGCGACCCTGTGGTAGGCCAAGCTCTTGTACTTGGCTCATGTTCTGAATAGTCTCTTTGGCTGGGACTTCCCCTTGCAGCCTCGGCCCGTAACCTGCACCTCTGCGAGGGATATCGCAGCCCTGATGGACGCTACCACTCCGGCTTCTACTGCCCACGCCTCACTGACCCCCCTGCACACAGGTGCTGCTGCCGCCACGGAGACCGTGCCCTGAAATCCTGCTGCCCCCAGCTGGAGTTTGAGAGCCTGAGAAGGGTCAATCTGTCCAACGTGCCCACCCCAGCCAGACTCAGGTAAGCAGCAGTGCCTGGCCCGTGCGTGCACTTGCGGGAGGGGAGGGGCTGCTTCAGGTTCTAATGCCAGCCATGTTTGCACCCCCTTCTGGAGGGGCAAACCTCGCGTGACTTGTCGTGGCCCTGCACCACGCACAGTTCTGCGTGAGCGCAGAACACTGCATGCTGATGGGTGCGCCTGGACCCTGGGAGCCACCCAGGTGAGCTGTAAAGAGGGGCTTGGGGCTCTTGGGAATGGCAGAGCTGCAAGGACCATGAGCTGGTTTTACATGAGCCAGAAAAGCCCTGGATAGACGTGCTGTGACAGGCACAAAGCTACACTTTATAAATCCCTAAAAAGAAAAGGAGGACTAGTGGCACCTCAGAGACTAACCAATTTATTTGAGCATAAGCTTTCGTGAGCTACAGCTCACTTCATCGGATGCATACTGTGGGAAATACAGTGAGGAGATTTATATACACACACAACATGAAAAAATGGGTGTTAACATACACACTGTAGGGAGAGTGATCACTTATGATAACACCCGATTTTTCATGTTCTGTGCGTATATAAATCGCCTCACTGTATTTTCCACAGTATGCATCCGATGAAGTGAGCTGTAGCTCACGAAAGCTCATGCTCAAATAAACTGGTTAGTCTCTAAGGTGCCACAAGTACTCCTTTTCTTTTTGCGAATACAGACTAACACGGCTGCTACTCTGAAACCTATATAAATCCCTGTTACGCCCACACCTGGAATACTGCATGCAGTTCTGGGCACCCCAGCTCAGGAAGACACATTAGACTTGGAAAAGGCTCAGAGAAGGGCAACAACAATGATGAGGGGGATGGAACAGCTTCTGGATGAGGAGAGATCGAAAAGACTGGGACTGTTCAGCTGAGAAAAGAGACGACTGAGGGGGGATGTGATGGAGGTCTGTAAAATCAGGACGGGTGTGGAGAAAGTAGATAAGGACGTGTGATTTGCTCCTTCTTAGAAAACAAGAACTAGAGGTCACCCAATGAAATTATTAGGCAGCAGGTTTAAAACTAACAAAAGGAAGTACTTCTTCACACAACACACAGTCAACCTGTGGAACTCCTTGCCAGGGGATGTTGTGCAAGCCTATAACAGGGTCCAAAAAAGAACTAGAGAAGTTCCTGCAGGAACTTACAACTATTCAATCAATGGCTGTAAACCAAGACAGTCAGGGACACACCCCATGCTCCGGATGTCCCTAAATCTCTGACAGCCTGAAGCTGGGAATGGATGACAGGGGATAGATCACTTGATAACTGCCCTGTTCTGTTCATTCCCTTTGAAGCATCTGGCACTGGCCACTGCCAGAAGATACTGGGCTAGATGGCTCGTTGGCCTGACCCAGTCTGGCCGTTCTTATGTTGTAAAGGAAAATCATGCCTCTCTAATCCATTCAAGTGGCTGGAGCTCATTAACGGGCATTAACGACTCATGCCCAGCCCCGTTTTCCAGCAGCAGCTGCAAAGCAGCGACTCTCCATTCACAAGGGGTCCATGGGCAGTGCCTCTACCGAGCACCGGGGTCCATACATTTCCCTAGCAGCACCGGGCTCCCCAGGAGGGGCACGACGCCCCCTGGCATCGAGCTGGAGAAGATATGCAAGTAGGACAGGGCTGCCTGGGGGCACCCAATAGTGCCCAGTGGGGGACACCGCCTGGCATCTAGGTTCCCCTGGGAGAGTGGAAGCCACCCCTTGGTAGCAGTATTGTGCCCAGTGTAACACAGTTATTGCCTTGTACCTTCCCCCCCCCCAGGAACCCACTGCCCCTGCTGGCTGTGGGGCTCTACGGCCTTCTCGTCCTCACGCTCATGACCCTCGACTTCCTCCACTTCTGCAGACTCAACCAGCGCTGCTTTTACAGCCTCCCGAGCAGCAGCCACCTGGGCAAGCGCCTGGCCAGCTCCTTCCCGCACCGCTGCCCGCAGCCCGGCCCGGCGCGAGGAGGGACCCGGCAGCAGGAGCTGCCAGCGGCCCAGCCCGACGCGAGGAGGGACCCAGCAGCAGGAGCTGCCCGCAGCCCGGCCTGGCGCGAGGAGGGACCCGGCAGCAGGAGCTGCCCGCAGCCCGGCCCGGCGCGAGGAGGGACCCAGCGGCAGGAGCTGCCCGCAGCCCGGCCCGGCGCGAGGAGGGACCCAGCGGCAGGAGCTGCCCACAGCCCGGCGCGAGGAGGGACCCAGCGGCAGGAGCTGCCCGCAGCCCGGCCCGGCGCGAGGAGGGACCCAGCGGCAGGAGCTGCCCGCAGCCCAGCCCGACGCGAGGAGGGACCCGGCAGCAGGAGCTGCCAGCGGCCCAGCCCGACGCGAGGAGGGACCCAGTGGCAGGAGCTGCCCACAGCCCGGCCCGGCGCGAGGAGGGACCCGGCAGCAGGAGCTGCCAGCGGCCCAGCCCGACGCGAGGAGGGACCCAGCAGCAGGAGCTGCCCGCAGCCCGGCCTGGCGCGAGGAGGGACCCAGTGGCAGGAGCTGCCCCACGGCCCAGCCCGACGCGAGGAGGGACCCAGCGGCAGGAGCTGCCCACGGCCCAGCCCGACGCGAGGAGGGACCCAGCGGCAGGAGCTGCCCGCGGCCCAGCCCGGCGCGAGGAGGGACCCAGCGGCAGGAGCTGGCTGTACCCACAGCCCAGCCCAGCCAGGACAGCAAGTGTGAAGAGCAGGTGCCACAGTGACTGTGGGGTGACGCTTGGGGCAGAGGGCGTGTCAGCTGTCGGTATTACAGAGGTGCTGTTAGCAGAGCCTGGCACGCTGCCACTGCGATAAAGCCAGCCCATGCCTCAGCCCCGCACTGTTTGGCCTGGCCCTTATAAAGTGCCTAAGCTGCTTGACAGGCCAAGCCCTGCCCCCGAGTGCTCTGTCTGGGATGTGACCTCTGGAGAGAGAGGAACCCTGGGGTGTGTGTAGTGGGGTGGAGTCACACGATGACACAAGCTGGGCAGGGCGGGGGTCTCCTGGCCCTTGTCCGATTCATTCCGCCCATGGCTCATCTGTGCTCAGGGTCCCTGGGGCTGCCTGCAGCTCCTCGTTCACAGGTAAAGGTGACAGCTGGTCGCACTCTCAGTTCCCATTTATTGCTGGTTGTGGCTTGATCCCCACCCTGGGCACCGAGGGCTGCGGGCAGGGTCCTTGCTTCTCCGTGGCCAGTCCAGCTGCTGCGCACCTGTTCAAGGGAGCATGGGAGGGTCCACAGGGTTTTGTGTGATGGGCATCAGCATGGGGGTGTGTGTGGGGGTGCAGTTTGGGGTGTGGCATGTTCACGTGTGGGTGTGCAGGTGTGGGATGTGAGGGGTGTGCATGGGTGTATGTATGTGGGCAGGTGTGGGTGTGCGTGGGTGGGGGTGTGTGAAGGGGTGTGTGCATGGGTGTGTGTGTGCATGTAGAGGGGTGTGTGCATGGGTGGGTGTGCGTGTGTGTACCCTCCTGCATTGCTGGAGTGAATGCTCACTGCACAGCTGTGGGTTTGGCCCTCCCCACTGTGGCACCAGCCGACCTGGTCACCTCTGCAGTGTCTGCCTCCTGAGCCGGTGGCCTGGATCTGTGGTGAACTGGTGAACTGTGGTGAGCTGGGTCCCAGCTGCTGGGTCTGTGGTGAACGGGCTGCAGGTCTGGCTGCAGCCAAGTTGTGCCATTTGAGGACCCAGCACAGGTGGCTGAGCCATGTGGCAAATTGGAACTGGAGCCTGATGTTTGCCCAGGGTCAGTCTCCCTCCAGCCCAGCCAGTGCCACCCGCCTGAGCCCTAGCATTGCCAGGCATCTGGTTTTCGACTGGAACGCCTGGTCGAAAAGGGACCCCCGTGGCTCTGATCGGCGCCATTAAAAGTCCGGGCAGCGGTGCAGCAGGGCCCCGGGGCGAAGGCAGGCTCCCTGCCTGCTCTAGCTCTGCGCAGCTCCCGGAAGTGGCCCACATCCCTGCAAACCCCAGACGCATGGCGGCCAGGGAAGCTACGTGTGCTGCCCCCGCCCCGAGAGCCGACTCCGCAGCTTCCACTGGCCGGGACCCGTGACCAATGGGAGCTGCGGGGGCAGTGGCTGCAGGCAGGAGGGCAGCGCGCTGAGCCTCCCTGGCTGCCCACACCCATGCAGCTAGAGGCTGCAGGGGCCTGGCGGCCGCTTCCTAAGACCCACAGTAAGCACTGCCAGGACCCTGCACCCCCAAGCCTCTGCCCAGCCCTGAGCCCCCTCCTACACCCCAACCCCCTCATCCTTGGCCCCACCACAGAGCCTACCCCGCACTCTCCCCCGCCCCGCTCCCCGGGCCCCCGCCCCAGGCTGGTGAGAGCACGGCTGGGGGAGCACGCGCGAGGGCGGCAGGGGGAGGGGCGGGCGCCGGTGGAGCCTGGAAGGAGGGCCGGGGCCTCGGGCAGGGGTGTTCAGTTTTGTGCGATTAGAAAGTTGGGCACCCTAATGAGCCCTCCCGCGACCCCTGCTGCTGTCCCACGTGCACGTCCCATCAGCCCCGGCGCCCCCCTAGGCACAGCTGCCCCAAGAGCCCAGCTGGCTCCCTTGGCCCGGGGCTCAGAGACCCCGGCCCCGCTCCCCGGCCGGGGGTAGGCCGGGCTGCGCCCTTGGCCCCCCCCGCCCGCACGGGGACGCAGCAGCCCGGCCCCTGGACAGGCCCGCGTCATCGTTAGGGTCCAGAGTCAACGGGCGGCGCCACCGCTGCCGCTCGGGGCGGGGCTCGTGACCCCCCAGGTTAAGCACCGCCCCTTCCCTGAGCCCGTCACGTGATGCCGGCCTCCGCGTCAGCGGCGTCTCGGCGAGGCCGCCGGGAGGCGGGGCGCTGACAGATGGCGTCATTGCGCCGCGCGCGCGGGGGGCGGGGCCCGGGCGAGGCGCGTCACTGCGCGGAGGGAGCGGCCGGCTCGGCCTCGGGACTCGGCATGGAGGCGGCCGTGGGTGACCCGCCGGGCCCGGCTCGGGGGGGGCGGACTGGGGGGGTCCCGGCTCCCGGGGGGGGAGGAGGGACGGACTGGGGGGGGGTCCCGGCTCCCGGGGGGGAGGAGGGACGGACTGGGGGGGTCCCGGCTCCCGGGGGAGGAGGGACGGACTGGGGGGGGGTCCCGGCTCCCGGGGGGGGAGGAGGGATGGACTGGGGGGGGTCCCGGCTCCCGGGGGGGGAGGGAGGAGGGACGGACTCGGGGGGACGGGGGGGGGGGTCCCGGCTCCCGGGGGGGGGAGGAGGGGACGGACTGGGGGGGGGTCCCGGCTCCGGGGGGGGAGGAGGGACGGACTGGGGGGGGGGGGTCCCGGCTCCCGGGGGGGGAGGAGGGACGGACTGGGGGGGGGGTCCCGGCTCCCGGGGGGGAGGAGGGACGGACTGGGGGCGGGGGGGGGGGGGGTCCCGGCTCCGGGGGGGGGGGGAGGAGGGACGGACTGGGGGGGGTGTCCCGGCTCCTGGGGGGGATGGAGGGACGGACTGGGGGGGTCCCGGCTCCCGGGGGGGGGGGGAGGGACGGAGGGACTGGGGGGGGTCCCGGCTCCCGGGGGGGGGGATGGACGGACGGACTGGGGGGGTCCTGGCTCCCGGGGGGGATGGACGGACGGACTGGGGGGTCCTGGCTCCCGGGGGGGAGAGGAGGGACGGACTGGGGGGGGTCCTGGCTCCCGGGGGGAGGAGGGACGGACTGGGGGGGGTCCTGGCTCCCGGGGGGAGGAGGGACGGACTGGGGGGGCCCGGCTCCCGGGGGGGGAGGAGGGACGGACTGGGGGGGTCCCGGCTCCCGGGGGGGGGGGGGCGGGGGGACGGACTGACTGGGGGGGGGTCCTGGCTCCCGGGGGGGGGGGGGGGTGGGGGAGGAGGGGATGGACTGACTGACTGGGGGGGTCCTGGCTCCCGGGGGGGGGTGGGGGAGGAGGGATGGGACTGGGGGGTCCCGGCTCCCGGGGGGGGAGGAGGGACGGACTGACTGGGGGGGTCCCGGCTCCCGGGGGGATGGACGGACGGACTGGGGGGGTCCTGGCCCCCGGGGGGGGAGAGGAGGGATGGACTGGGGGGTCCCGGCTCCCGGGAGGGTCGGACTCCGGGGCTCTGGCCCCTCTGACTGTGTCTTTCCCCAGGGCGCGGCAGGGCAGCTGCGGCAGGAGGGGAACCGGCTCTTCCAGGCCGGGGACTACGCGGCCGCGCTGGCGTCCTACACGCGGGCCCTGGAGCTGGGCGCGGGGCCCCCGGAGTGCGCGGTGCTGCACCGCAACCGGGCCGCCTGCCACCTGAAACTGGTGAGCTGGGGGGCGCCCGGCGTGGGGCTCGGTGACCGCATGGCGCCCGCCCCACTGCGCTGCCAGCCTGAAGCCGCTGACTCAGCGGAGCTGTCTGGGTTAGCGGCACCTCCTGCCCCCCGAGGTGGGGATCCCTGGGCCAGTGGGCGCGGGGGGGAAGGGCAACTTGCCAAGGCTCTTCTGGCAAGTCAGCATCCGAGGCAAGCAAAAGGCACTTGGGTAGCGGAGCGATGGGTGCAGGGTGATACCTAGGCAGGTCGATAACGGGGGCCTTTTCCCGTCCCTGCTCTGGCTCTCAGGGCTACCTCCTGGGCTGGAAGGGCTGGTGAGCACTGCCCGGCGCCATCGCTCTGGAGCATTGCACCTGTGCCAGGGGGAGTAGCAGGGAGGCCGGGCGGTGACACGTGTGACCCCGGCCAGGGACTGGCGTGAAGCCCAATGTTCCAACTGCCCTCGCTGGGCACCGGGAGTCACAACCTCTGCGCCCGCTGGCAGGTCTCTGGGATGCATCGAGCAGCCTGCTGCTGCTGCACCTGGGGGGCGGGGGGGCTCTCTGGCCCAGCAGGCTGCTGTGACTCCCCACTTTTCAGGTTCCACCTTATCTGCTTACACAATGTGTGTCCCCTCCCCAGGGAGCCCCAAGCTGCTCTGGGCAGGAGGGGCGGCACCAGTGATTGTGTGGCTGGGGTGTGGGTTGAGCCCCCCGAGCTGGGGGTAGGGGGATCCGGAGACCCCCAGAGCAGGTGGCCCCATGGAAGTGGAAGTTTGGTGGGCCTGAGGGAAGGCGATTCCTGCATTGTGAGGCCAGCAGGGCCCATGGCGCTGGTCTGGTCTGAGGAGGGATGTCCTGGGCAGGGTGGGCTGAGCTGAACAGTGGGGAAAAAAAAAATCTGTCTGTCGCTGTGGCAACTCCATGGAAACATCTGCTCAGTGATATCTGAAAATCCAGGAACCTCCACCTGTGGACAGGTCAGTCTCTCCTCCTCTGATCTGGGCTTTTAGCACCTCCCCTGTCCATGACAGGCCTGGAGGCTAGTGGGACCCAGCCTGGCCGTCTTGTGCTTCTAACACCATGGCGACCCGCCTCTCTCACCTGCCTCCCTTCTTTGCAGGAAGATTATGCCAAGGCAGAAGCTGATGCGTCTAAAGGTACGGCAGGGTGGGTTGTCGGTCAGCTTGCTGTTTCCCCAGTTGGGGGTAGGGGGAGCGGGCCCAGAGGCCCCCTCTGACTGTGCTCTGGTCTCTGCTCAGCCATCGAAGCCGATGGCCACGACGTCAAGGCGCTGTTCCGCCGCAGCCAGGCGCTGCAGAAGCTGGGCCGCCTGGACCAGGCGGTCTACGACCTGCGCAGATGTATGAGCCTGGAGCCCAAGAACAAGGCCTTCCAGGAGGCATTGCACGACCTGGGGAGCAGCATGCAGGAGAAGGTGAGCGCAGCAAGGCCTGGGCGAGGGCTCTGGAGGGCCAACGCTGCCAGCACTTTACTGGCCTCTGAGAAGCCATGCTGCTCCCAGCCTCATGGCCCAGGCGGGGCCGGGCTGCTGACCCATCTGCAGGCCGAGGCTGGACTCCCACTGCAGGGTGATAGAGGCCATCACTAACCTGTCCCTCCATCTGTCTCAGATGAAGCTCATGTCCTGCACGGACTCCAAAGTAGAGCAGATGTTTCAGATCTTACTGGACCCCAAAGAGACAGACACAGACAAAAAACAGAAGGTACCAGCTCCGAGCAGCCCCAGGGCAAGGTGTGGGGGTGGGAGCTGGCTGTGACCAGGGGAGGGAATGTGGTGGGGGAGGGGGACTGTCTGGATGGGGTGCTGGGGGGAGTTATGGTGGGGAGGGGAGACTGTCGGGGGAGCGGGAGTAGCTGAGTAGGTGCTGGTGGGGGGTGGGTTCCAGTCCCTAAGCAGATGTTGCTCACTAAAGCATGAGCTGTGGGGCGGTGGGAGAGGCTGTTGTGGCTCTGGGCATGGGCACTTGTGTTCCCGCTGCAGGAGGCTCTGGCTTGGCAGGTCTGAGCTGCTGGAAGCCAAGGGGGCCCCCTCTCGCTGGCTGCCCAGGCAGTGATCCCACCTGGGACCCCTTGGTGTCCTGCATGCTGGTGCCAGTGAGGTTCCTCACTCCCTGGGCTCCTTCCCTGGGTTGAGCCCAGCCCCGCGGCCTCCCTGCTGAGTGTAGCTTGCCAGCTGCATATGACTCCTGTCTCCCAGGCAGCGCAGAACCTGATTGTGCTGGCCCGGGAAGAGGCTGGGGCGGAGAAGATCTTCCAGAGCAACGGCGTCCGGCTGCTGCTGCTCTTGCTGGACACGGGCAGAGAGGACGCGACGCTGGCGGCTCTGCGCACTCTGGCTGGCCTGTGCTCTGGGCACCGTTCGCGGGTAGGTGTGGGCCGCTCTCAGGGCTTGGGGCCTGTGCCCCGTGCAGACTTGTGCCCCCCACGGGACCAGCGGATTTGGTTGCAGGGTGTGCTGGTGGGAGACTCACCCTGGGGGTTGCGACCTGCAGTTACTGACGCTGCAGTAACCAGGGCCACTGCTGCCTGGCCTGGCCTGGCCGGGGCTCCATCCCCTTGTGTGGGCTGTGGTGGGAGAGAGGAGCCTGCCCGGCTCCACCTCTGTAGCTGGGGTCAAGGACTGCAGCAAGGGGGGGGCTGTCAGTGCTGATCTGCATTGCGCCTGCCCAGCTCAGCCTGGCTGCCCCGGTGTGAAGCCTCTTCCTGCCTCGCTCTTCTCTGGCGGTGACTCCGCAGCCCGCCTCCTGCAGGGCCAGCTCCCAGGCTGTAGTGCCCGTCTGTCCCCACCCTGCTGTCTAGCTGGCGAGATCCCTCCCTTCCCTTTGCCAGCGTGGCTAGCGTTCGCCCGAGAGCATTTGGGGGGTGTGGGCCCCTGGCCATGGCAGGCACTGCTGGGTATCTGCACAGGGCAGCTGGGACTTCCTGGGGCCAAGTGTGGGGTGAAGGGGCAGCGCTGGGGGGGCTTGGGGCTTCTCAGCAATCTTCTAGCAGGCTGCTCTGCTGTGCTCACAGACCACGGCCATCCTCGCGGAGCTGGGGGCACCACGCATTTCGGCGATGCTGGGAGCGGAGCATGAGCAGGTGTCTCTGGCGGCCTGTAACCTGCTGCAGGTCATGTTTGACGCACTGAAGGAGGGGCTGCAGAGGGACTTCCGTGGCAAGGAGGAAGCCCTTGTGCTGGGTGAGTGACCCATTCTCTCTGCTCAGCGGCAGGTTCCAGAGAGGCCATGTCCTGGCCAGACCTTACCCGTGTCCCTGGATTTCCAGTGGCAGGTGGTGGATCGCCTGGCACAAGCCTCTCTGATGTCCCCCTGGTGCCAGGCAACTTTGTGGGTGCCCATCCTGTGATAGGAGGGATGGAGAAGGGGCCTGTGTGGAACACCTGGGGCTGTGATTTGGGGTACCCTGGGCTCTGTGCCTCATCCCACCATTTCCTGTGCTCCCAGCTGCCTGTGAGGGGGCCAGGGGCTGGGCGGGGAGGGGGGTACTGACGTTCTTGGCGTTTGCTGTCTGCCAGATCCCTCGAAGGAGCTGAAGCTGCTGATTGCGCACCTCTTGGAAATGCTGACCCGGGAGGGGGCCTCAGCCCACGGCCGCAACAACACCCTCAACCTCCTGATCAAAGTGGTGCCGCGGAAATCGCTGCGTGACCCCAACAACAGCCTGACCCTCTGGGTCATCGACCAGGGTAAGAGCTGCTCAGAGCACCCCCAGGGCTGCCACACCCCTCCCAGCTCCCCCCCACTCACGCCTGTGCCGGCATGGGTCCCTCGCTCAGCCAGAGTCGCCTGCTCCCTGAGAGCTCTTGAGCCTGTTGCTGAGGGCAGTGTCTGAGTGCCCTGCCCTTGCAGGCCTGAAGAAGATCCTAGAAGTGGGGGGCACGGTGTGCGAGGCCCCTGGCAGCCTGCTTGCGACAGAGAACAGCCGGATGAGCGCTGCTGTCCTGCTGAGCAAGCTCTACGGTGACCTGAAGTGCGACGCCGAGAGGGAGACCTTCCACCGGCTCTGCGAAGACTATGTCAGGTGAGGAGCAGCCCCATGCCCTGGGCACAGCCTGGGCGCCACCTCTCCTCGGCCAGGCCATTCCCTGACCGCTGGCAGGAATGTTCCCTGCTCCTGGGGTCTGGGCCCGGCAGGGATCGGCAGCTCAAGGAGGAAAGGAGCTACCAGCCTTGCTGTTCTTGGGGGTGAGATGGCTGGAGCTGGGCCTGCTGCTGGCACCATGCCTGCAGGGCGGGTGGGGGCTACAGCTGATGCCCCCGGGCAGGGTTCGCCTCTCTTGCTGCTCTTCCCCTCCAGGAGCTGGTTTGAGGGGCACGGGTTGGCTGGGAAGCTTCGTGCCATCCAGACGGTGTCGTGCCTGCTGCAGGGCCCCTCGGAAGCTGGGAACCAGGTGCTGGAGCTGGAGGGGATCATGGAGAGTGTGCTGGCTCTGTGCGCCTCCGTGCGGGAGGCCGACCAGCTGGTGGCCGTGGAGGCTCTGATCCATGCCGCTGACAAGGCCAAGCGGGCGTCTTTCATCACGGCCAACGGGGTGACCCTGCTCAAGAACATCTATAAGTGCAGCGGGAGGGACAGCATCCGCATCCGGGCCTTGGTGGTGAGGAGCCCAGCGAGGGGGGCTGTCCCTGAAGGGTAGAGTGTCCTGCTGGAGGCTGAGCTGCTGCATCTGGGCACAGCGGGAGATGCTCTCACAGGGCTGGAAGCGTTCAGGGGCTGCGTGTGTGGCTGAAGGGCCCATGGCAGGCCTGCGGAAGCCCTTGGGCTGATGAGTTTGTGTCCAGCCCAGGTGGGTGGGGGTTCCCATTGGCAGGGTCCCCCCAAGGCATGCTGCGGGCAGGGAGGGGCTGGCCTGATGTGCTGTTCTTTGCTGTAGGGGCTCTGCAAGCTGGGCTCTGCCGGAGGCACCGATTTCAGCATGAAGCAGTTCGCTGAGGGCTCCACCCTGAAACTGGCCAAGCAGTGCCGCAAGTGAGGGCCTGGGGGTGGGGGGACGTCCAGGCACAGGGAGTGGGGAGAGGTCCCAGGGTCAGGGGAGCATCTGAGGGCTGGTGCTGGGGGTGGGGGGTACCACCCAGCCCCCAGGCTGCCGCCACCACAGTGGGGTGCCAGCACAGGCTCATGGCTGCTCCCCTCCCGCAGGTGGCTGTGTAACGAGGTGATCGACGTGGGCACACGGCGCTGGGCGGTGGAGGGCCTGGCCTACCTCACCTTCGACGCGGACGTCAAGGAGGAGTTTGTGGAGGACAAGGCAGCTGTGCAGGCCATGTTCCAGCTGGCCAAGGTGATGCTGCTGCTGGGGCAGCGCTGGGGGAGGGGGGGCTGTGTCGGTGTCAGGATAGCACGTGGGGGGGGTGGCTCAGTGGGGCAGAACTGGGAGCTGCTTGCAGTCGATTGCTCCGTGGGGCCAGCCGGCCTAGCGGTGAATCCCACTTGTAGCGCACGGTTTGCTGAGCGTCCCCTGCTGTTCCCTGCAGTCAGAGGACAGGAGTGTGCTGTTCGCCGTGGCCTCGACGCTGGTGAACTGCACCAACAGCTACGACCACGAGGAACCAGACCCCCAGATGCTGGAGCTGGCCAAGTATGCCAAGCAGCACGTCCCAGAGCAGCACCCCAAGGTCAGGAGAGGGGCTGGGCTGCGCCCCAAGGGACTTCTGCACCCTGCCGGCGCCTGGCAGTGCGGCCTGCGCAGCACTGTGTTGTGCTGGGCCCCCTGGGAGGAAAGGGGCTGATGGGTGTGGGCGGGGGCGGGGGTGGGCAGAGCCTTGTGTGTACTGTGTAGCTGTCATTCCCCGCACAGGATGAGCCAGGCTGTGTGAGGCGGCGGGTGCACAAGCTGCTGGCTGCCGGGGTGGTGTCAGCTCTCACCTGCATGGTGAAGAGTGAGAACCCGGCGCTGACCAACTCCTGCCGGGAGCTGATCTCCAGGTGAGGCTGTGCCCATGGGGGGTGGCTGGCTGGCCCTCTGAGCCACATGCCCAGCGGGTTCTGGGTTCCCCTGTGCATGGGAGCAGGGCACTGTGGGGTCCTGCCCAGCGCAGGGAGCCCCAGGGTGCGAGCATGGATCTGCACCTGGCGAGGGGGCCGGGTGCTCGCACCCTCCCCGTCTCTGCTTGTGCTGACTGCAGCGGCCGCTGCTGCTCTTTGCCCCCAGGGTGTTCCTGGCCGTGGTGGAGGAAGCAGTGGACAGAGGCAGCGTGGTGGCCCAGGGAGGGGGAAAGGTGAGATGCCAGGGCTCCCAGCTTCTCCCCTCGTCTCTCTACAGCGCCCCCCTGTGGGCTGGGTGCATAGCATGAGGCGGGAGGGAAGCGAATGGCCCTGCAGGGGTTGGGGGTTTCTGCCAAAGCCCCTACGCATGTGGGCCTGGCCGAGTCCCTGGGCTGGGGTGTCCCCGCCAGGCGGGGCTCTCTCTAGGGACCCAGGGTGGGGGTGGCAAGCTGGGTGTTGGCAGGGCTGCTGGGCCCTGGCTCTGTACTGACAGCCCTGCCCCCCCAGACACTCATCCCGCTGTCCCTGGAGGGTACCGAGGTGGGGCAGGCCAAGGCTGCACAGGCACTGGCGAAGATCACCATCACCTCCAACCCTGAGATGGCGTTCCCTGGAGAGCGGGTCAGTGCGGCCTGGCGTGTGCTGTTCTGGGGTGGAGGGGCTGCCCCCAGCAGTCCACACCTGGGCAGAGTTTTTGCCTGGGACTTTCCTCATACTGGGGGTCTCTGGGAGGGCAGGGGTCTCGCGGCTGCTTCTCCCCAGGGGAGGCAGCGACTCATGTTGGCTGAGTCTGAGCTGCTCTTGGTGGCAGATCTGCTGCCCGTGCGGGGGAGTCCCTGCAGCGTGGGATGTCTGGGCGTTCTGCAGCCACAGCCTGAGCCCCTCTGACTGCTGCCTTGCTCCCTAGATCTATGAGGTGGTCAGACCCCTGGTGAGTCTCCTGCACCTGCACCGCACAGGCCTGGAGAACTTCGAGGGGCTGATGGCGTTAACCAATCTGGCCGGGATCAGCGAGAGGCTGAGGTAGGAGGAGCTGCATTGCGCCTGGCAGTCAGGCGGGTCCCTTCTGCTAGCAGACCCCCCTCACCCAGCACCAAAGCCACCCTCTGTCCCAGGTGGGAGCGGGGCGCTCACTTGTTCCTTGTTGCAGGCAGAAGATCCTGAAGGAGAAAGCGGTGCCCATGATCGAGGGCTACATGTTTGAGGAGCACGAGCTGCTCCGTCTGGCTGCCACTGAGTGTATGTGCAACATGGCCATGAGCACGGAGGTGAGGGCCGGCATGGGCAGGGCGGGGGTCTGGGGGAAGGGCCCGCCCTCTGGCAGGAGGGCATTCCCCGTTCTGGCTCTGGCTTGCAGGTGCAGGAGCTCTTCCTGGCCGAGGGCAGCGACCGGCTGAAGCTGCTGGTTCTGTACAGCGGGGAGGACGACGAGAAGCTGCGGCGAGCAGCCTCCGGCACCTTGGCCATGCTGACCTCACTGCTGCCCCCGATCTGCAGGAAGATCACCCAAGTGGTGAGAGTGCCCCCGCCCCGCCCTTGCGCTCTGACAGTGGGGGCCGGAACGAGCTCAGCCTCCTTCCCCAGCTGCTCTCCGCTAGTGGGGGCACAAGCTGGTCTGCTGCGGCTGCCTGCGGGGTGGAACATGCTGCTGGCCTTGCGGAGGGGCACAGAACGTGGGATCCTGGTGTGGAATTTCAGTCTCTTGTGACTTTGCAATGAGTGCTGGGGCACCAGCATGTGTGCAGGGCAGAGCAGGAAGGAGCAGCATGTCCTGGCTGTGGCAGGCAGCCAGCTCCGTTTCTCTGGCATGTTGTGGGAAGGGGCGGGGGCCGGCTGAGGCTCAGGGACGGTACAAGTGCCAGAGGGGGCAGCAGCAGCTGGTCTGTGGGTCTGTCCAGGAAGCAGGACTCCGGGCTGGGGTTTCGGCTCCGAGAGTAGCCTGGGTGTGCTGGACGGCTCCCCGCCCAGGTTCTGTGTCCATACAGGCGCTCAGGGCCTGGCTCAAGCCCGTCTCCCTGTCTCCCCCCAGACGGATCACTGGCTGGAGATCCTGCAGGCCCTGTTGCTCAGCCCCAACGAGGAGCTGCAGCATCGTGGCGCCGTGATCGTGCTGAACATGATGGCAGGCCGGGAGATTGCAGCCAAGCTCATGGAGAGCGAGATGCTGGAGATCCTGTCCGTACTTGCCAAGGAGGAGCGCGACAAGCCCCGTGTGGCCCAAGCTGCCAAGGAGTGCCTGGCGCAGGCCGTGGCATGTGGGCTGATCAAACCCAACGTGAATGGAGAGTGACAGGCTGTCCTGCCTGGGCTCTCCTTCCTCTGTGCACGCACTGCTCTGGGCTTGTAGCACACCCAGCTGCTGCTAGGGAAAGACACGCTGCCTTCGGAGGCTGGAGCCCCTGGGGTGCAGGTGGCCACGATGGGGGCTGAAGCTGCCTGTTGTATCTTGTCTTAACCGAAGAGGGTATGCAGTTGAGGCAGGGCCTGCCTGTGTGTGCTAGACACAGGGGTGCTCTGCAATGCTCTCGGGTACGTTTCTTCTCTGCACCCATGAGCTGCTGCAGGGTCCCCTTGACACTCTCCTGTCTAGCCTGGAGCTGCCAGCCTCCGCTGAGAGCTCCGGGCATCCAAGTCCTGCTGCACCCTGTGCTTGTCTCTGCCTGCCTGAGCAACGCCCCCGCGTGCTCCCAGTGCAGATGGATGCTGAGCTGGGGCCGTCTGCACTTGCTGCCCCCCAGGAGGGGTCTTTGCACCTGCACCTGTCTTCTTGTGCCTAACACGTCTGTCTGTCTCCTCCAAGCGCTCTGACCCCCACAGCTCTGCTCTGGGCTGGCGGGGAGGGGCAGAGAGGGCATTCTTCAGGCACAGCGGCTCTGGGGTGATGGGCTGGCTGCTGTTTAGCAGCTATGTGGGATCGGAGGGGCAGGACCCTTGGTTGGTGCTGTCCTGCTGTTCCCCTGAGGTGGTGAGTGGCTGAATGCAGCAGCTGTTTGGACTGGTCTGAGCAGCTGGATCAGCCCTCGCTCTCCTGCCTCTGTCTGGCTCCAGGGGGCTGCTGAATGCGGGTGAAGGAGCCACCGCTGGCCCCGCTGCTGGGGTTGTAGCCTGTCTGTCTTCTCGTGATTGTCCCTATCGCTGTAGGATGAACACCTCCCGGGCGTTGCATTTACCTCTTCTGCTGGGGTGGTGGGGGGGTGAGGGAAAGCAGGCCTTGTATGCACTGTATTGTATTTTCCTAATAAAGCCACCCCCTCCAGCCCCGTGGACTGAATTTACCAAAGCGAAGCACTAAGGCCAGGGGCCTGGTTCACCGTGGGGAGGGGGCTGGGGTGGGGAACAGCTCTGGGCTGGGGGGTCCTTCAGTAGCAGGGAGCAGGGCTGGACCCCCCCAGGCTGGGGCCGGCCCCGCGTGAAGGAAGGTCCCTCCTTGTAACAGCGAGGGGACCCGGGGCTTCTCCTGGGGCTGCCCCACCCAGGCTGCTCTCCTTTAACCGGGGGGAGGGCAGAGGGGCTGGCCGGGGTCACCCCACGCTAGGGGCCGGGCTGGGCCAGAGGTTTCTAGTCCTGGCGGCTGGGGGGACGCGGGTGTCCTGGGGCTGAACAGCGCCGGGGTCGCACGTCACCTAAATGGATGGGGGGAGGGGGAGACCTGGCCTCAGTTTCCCCATCTGGCAAAACGGGCGGGGAGTTGTCACGTCATGTGACCGGAAGTCCCTCCCGCTCGCTGTGATTGGCTGCGATGGTGGAACCGGGTCCCCAGCGCGGCTGGTTCGTTTTCGGGTTTCGGGGCGTCGCGGAGCCTCCGGCCGCCGGGGCCCAGCGCGTGGAGCCGGAGCCGGGCGGGATCCGCGTGGTGCGGCCCGCGTGGAGCTACACGGGCCTGGTGACGGGTGAGACCCCCGGTACCGCCCCCAATTCTCTACCAACACCCCCCCCGCTCCGGTACCGCCCCAACCCCGCCCGGTGCCGCCCCCCCCGGTGCCGCCCCCAATTCTCTACCAACACCCCCCCGCTCCGGTACCGCCCCCAATTCTCTACCAACACCCCCCCCGCTCCGGTACCGCCCCAACCCCGCCCGGTGCCGCCCCCAATTCTCTACCAACACCCCCCCCCAGAACCCCGCCTGACCGCTCTCTCCGCAGGGCGCGGCCGCCTGGTGCTGCGGGGGCTGCTGGCGGGGCCGCTGCCCGGGCGCTGCCGGGACCTGCTCCCCTCCGAGAGCCACGTGCTTCTGCGGCGAGGGGCCGCGCTGGAGGCCTGGGCGCGGGGTGCGGGGCTGTGCGGGGGCCCCGCCTGGCGGCGGCGGCTGCACCCAGGGGAGACGGCCGGGCCCCTGCCCCTGGCCCCCGGCGGCTACGTGACCCCGCGGCCGCCCTTCCTGCACCCGCTGCCGCTGCCGGCCCGGAAGCTGGTGCTGGGCCACGAGCACGCGGCGCTGCTGGGCCCTGCCGGGACCGTCTACACCTGGGGCTCCAGCAGGTGGGTGGGGAAGGAGACTGCGCTGCTGGGGGCTGGGTCAGAGGGGAGGAGGAGGAGCGGGTCCCTATGGGGGGGTGCGAGGGGAAGACATGGGGTCATGTTGGCTCATCCCTGGGGGGAGGGGAGGATACATGGGGCAGGGGGGCTGGTCCCTATGCAGGGGGTGGGAGGGGCGAGGGAAGGACATGGGGTCATGGTGGCTCATCCCTGTGGAAGATACATGGGGTAGGGGTGGCTGGTCCCTCTGGGGGGGTTGCTGTGGGGACGGGGCAGACCTCGAGAGCAGAAACGTGTCTCGTGTGTGTTCCCTGCAGACATGGGCAGCTCGGGCACGGGGGGCTGGAGCCAGTGTCGGAGCCCCGGCTCGTGGAGGCCTTGCATGGCGTGCCCATGGGGGACGTGGCAGCTGGAGGCTGGCATTCTGTCAGTGTCAGCGGTAAGGGCCATAGGGGTGGAATGGCCGCTCCCTGCGCCCAGGCCTGTTAGTAGCAACAGGGTGGGGGCTTGGTCAGTGTGGCTAAAAGGGGGAGCGCTGGTGCCAAGGGGGTCTGGTCTCGGTCATGAGGGGGAGCGGAGTTGGTGCTGTTTCTGTCCCTGCTCCTGGGGAATGCTCGGCTGGGCCAAAGGGCCGCCCCACTCTGAACCACTTGGGGGGTGATGGTGGATTAGCTCCTGGGGAGACGCTACAGCGATGCACAGAGTTCTAGGGGGGAAGGGCTCTGAGGGCCCCTGCTTGCCCAGGAGCTGGAGCGCTGAATGCTCACGGAGAAACACCTTGGTCCCAATCCTGTTCTCGGCTATCGCTTCTCTTTCTTCCAGAGGGAGGTGATCTCTATGCCTGGGGCTGGAACGAATCGGGGCAGCTGGCATTACCTTGCAAAGCACTGGCAGAAAAAAGGCCACCAGCCGCAGCCTCTGTCTCCCAGCATGAGGAACCTGGCGCAGGTGAGGAACCCTGCCACGTGGCACAGGCCCGAAGGCTGAGTCCTGGCTGGTGGGTGGAGGCTTAGAGAGCTGCTGCTGTTGGCCTTTCTTGGTTCTTATGGCAACTTGCCGGTGAGGCATTTGGGAACCCCTGGAGGCCCCATGCTTTTCCGAGGGATCACTCCAGCTCAGCCTGCCTGTGCCCCGGTGAGGGAAATCCCCTTGCGACAGCCTGGTTGCTCTTGCATTGGGGAGGGTCAGACCCTTCCCAGCCAAAAGAGGCCCACGTCTTCCTTGCTCTCCAGATCCACCACCTGAGCTGGATTTTGAATCCGTTTCCCAGGAGAGGCGGAGCTGAAATTGGTCAGTCCCAAGGCAGCACCGGGTGCTGAAGCAGGTGACTTCATTTCAATCCAGGCCTTCCCCGCTTTGCTGGATCTACCTGAGGGTTCAGAGGTCAGCAAGGTCAGCTGTGGTTCCCGCCACACTGCTGCTGTGACCCGTAAGTACAGGGGCTTGGGGCTGGTCAGCAAGGAGGGCGGTGGTGAAGTGTTGATTGTGTAGCTGGGATGGCTCTAAACCAGGGGCGGGCACACTTGGGTTTCTGAAATTGTACAAAGAGCTGTGCCTCCCCCCACAGCCAGGTGTGGCCCAGTCCTGCCCTCTATCCCATCCCCCCTTCTTCTCAGCCCCTGACAACCCCCCTGGGACTCCTGCCCCATCCACCCCTCCTCTCATTCCTGACTGGACCCCTATCCACACCCCTGCCCCCTTACCACACTGTCTGGAGCACCAGGGCAGGCAGCTGTGCTGCCCAGCTGGAGCCAGCCACACCACCGCACAGCACAGAGCACCGGCTCAGGCTGCAGCAGGAGAGTCCCGTGGGCTGTAGTTTGCCCACTGCTGCTCTAATGCCTTGTGCTGGTTTTCAGCAATTCCCACCTGTCCTGGGGAAGGAGGCTGAGGTTGTCCAAGGGGCCTGGAGACGGGCTGCACTGAACAGGCCCAGGCTCCAGGGGAAGGATGGTCACCTCTGCTATATATTTATTAACTTGCTTGGCTCAACTGAAGGTGATGTTCCAATGTGAAATCTTGGGAGGGAACTTGCCCTGAATTAACACCCCCTCCCTTGAGGGAACTGACTGCCCAAGGCAGGTCTGCTGCACTCAGCTCCTTGGCCTGACTAAGGGCATAAAGCAGCGTGTGTAACAGTCAGCCTGGGACCCAGGGGAGAAGCATACGCAGAAGCAAGTTCTACTGCCCCCCTGTGCTGTTTGCTGGACAAAACTTTGCCCTTGGCCCAAAACTGGGGGGAGGACAGACCTCTCTTCTGTGGCCCCCACAGCTGACTCTTGTCTTTGCTTACAGGGACAGGGGAGCTCTACACCTGGGGCTGGGGTAAGTGAGGATGGTGCACTGCTCTTCGGGCTTCTGAATGTAAATGCTCCTACAACAGAGTCCTCCCAGTCTCCAGCTGCCCAAGGCCCTGCATGAGAGAAGGCAGCGCCCTCCTGGGGCTGGGTGCTGCAGGAGGTGGGGTGGATGTAGCAGCTGTGTTTTTGTCTGCAGGTAAATACGGGCAGCTTGGCCACTCTGACACAGCCAGCTCTGACCAGCCAAGACAAGTGGGCTATTTCCCTGCAAACGGGCTCTCGGTGGAGGACGTGGTCTGTGGCCCATGGAACACTTACATCTGTGCAGTAGAGAAGTGAGAGCAGCTGAAAGGGCCAAGGGCTTTACAAAGGGTGGAGAAAGGCTTTGAGGCCTTGGCCCAGGACAGCATCCAGCCCAACCTGCAGCACTGTTGGGGAAGAGACTCAGCCACACGTGGGCTTGGAGCTGAACACATGGCTAGGGCAGAAAGTGATTTCCTTTTCACTGTGGGGGTTTAAATTGCCCCAGCCAGAGAACTCCAATCAATCATCTTTCCCTTGCTAAAAGCATGCTGCAGGTTTTCCTGGTGTTGCCTCCTATAACACTGCTGTGGGCCCACAGGCTGGGGGTTTGTAAAGGTGATAAGACCCTGAGCAAGCATTCCTGCAAGGAGGAGCTAGCTGCACTGCTCTCAACACAAGTACAGTACACCCTGTTGAAGAACTGCTGAATATATTTCCTCCAGAGCTGAACTGTACACTGAAAGGCACCATGAGTAACAAATTCATTCCACACTGTTCCCTCCCTACCATCAAGGAGAGGCAAAGCTCAAAGGGGGTGGAGGAGGTTAAAATAGGCACTAGACAAGCAAATGCCTGAGCAGAGAGATGCTGCCCCCATGCTGCAGTCAAACCGTACCATGCAGTTCCTGTCCCGCTAGCACAGAGCCGTCTAAAACCCCCTCCCCACCACGGAGCAGTGTACAGAGAGCCCTAGCCCAGCCCCTGCAGGCCAGGGACAGTATGAGAATAAATAACCAAGCGGGGGGTGCTGTAGTGATAAGGTGCACAGTGGTTCATGATCAGGGACGCTATTTACAGAGCAGCACTCAGTGATGGGAACAGAAGTGCAAACAGGCAGAGCCCCATCTCCAGCATGCTCAGAGCAGTGGAAAGGTGCAGCTTGCTAGGGGAGCAGACCCTGGCAGTGGCCTAGATCAGCTCCCTAGGCTGGCTGGGAGGGTAAGTCCTAACCCCTGCTCTAGGAGCCAGTGCAGGGGGATTCCTGCCTGGGGCAGCCAGGCTGCTGCTCAACCCAAGGAGGCTTCAAGTCTGGGGTATGTGACATGCCCAGCTTGCATCAGTGTAACCACCCTGCCTGGGGCAGGTGTCAACAGGCCTGCTCCAGTTGCCAGAGAGACCACCTGTCACAGAGGTGAAGTGCCCCGGCTGACAAGCCAAGCTCTCCCAGCAGCACAGGTACAAAACACTACACCTGCACAGCACTGTAAAGGTGGGAAAAACCCTCAGAAACACAAAGCAGAGTCTAGCAGGCATGAGGTGTAATCAGCCTAGTCTCTCCGCAGCTCAGCTGCCTTTGTCTTTAGAAGGGCAGGCTGTGCTAGGAAAGTACCATCTGCTGAGCCAGGCTGCCTAGGCCCGAGTCAGTGCTGGTGAAGGGCTGCTGGCAGGGAATGCTGGGCCCCCAGGCCTGGCTCGAAGAGACATTCCAGACAGGGGGATGAGGGTTTAGCACCCTAGCCCCTTTTTATGGATCATTGCCCAGACCCTCTTGCTCATGCCCATGCCACCTTCAAGGCAGGATGAGACATACACCTCAATCAGCTAGTCCAAGGCACTGGCCTCACCCCACCCAGCATATTAGCAGCAGGCAATAAGCCATTGCAGTTCTGGAGCCCTAGGCTCAGTGTTTCAACAGTGCACTTCAGGAAGGGTGGGCGCCAGGCTGACCCCTCTGCCGGGAAGCACTCGGGGGGGAAGAGGTAAGCCTGCAGGGGAACAGATACTGAGTAAGATGCTGCTATGGGCGCCAGCAGCTCAGAGAGCGGCCCAGGCAGGCAACGCAGAGGCAGCTGTGGGACGGGGGGAGGAAAGGAAGAGGTTGCCAGTGGAGGCTCTGGCTGCCCCACGGGCCATGCAGTGGGTCCAGGGCTGCAGGGGCCGGTGTGCTGCAGTAGTGTATGACGAGCAGGGAGCCCCAGGCAGGAGCAGCCCAGCTCTTTCTAAAACATTGCATCTAACATAAAAACCTGAAAATCACTATAGTAAAACCCTTTTTAAAAAAGTCTCCCTCCCCCCCAGCTTGCTCCTGCCTCTCCCCACAGGGATGGCTGCCAGCAGGCCACGGGCCCTGCCATGGGCACACAGGAGCATTGTAGCATGTAGGGCCTGGCTAAAAATCCAACGTGGGGCACTTGCCGTTTTCACCGCCCGCCAAAGGGACGCACGCTCAGGCGCTGCATGTACAGTCATGCTGTGCCAGAGCAGCGACCCAGCTGCAACTCTGAACAACTGGAACCTTCTGGCTGTGGCCTCGCAGCAGCCTCCTCAGCAGTGGATGTTGGTGGTTGTGGAGTTCAGGATCCGGGAGCTGGTGTCAGATTTGGAAGCCTTTGAAAGTTCGCGCTGTTTAAAAAAAGAAAAATGCAAATGAAGTGCCAGCTGAGGGGAGGGCAACACCCAGTGACAGGCAGCAGAGCCGGGCTGTGCACTTTGGGCCATGAAGGACGATGGAGTTCAAGCTCGCTGAGTTACTCTCCCACAGCCTGGCCAAGGTGGCTGCCTTGGCAGCACGTGCTGAGGGACTGTGGGTGCTGGTCACTCGAGAGGGGTGGGAAAAGGCAGCTTATGGTCAAGCAGCCAGGAGACATTTCGGGCCAGTAGCCCCCCCAAGCTAGAGCAGTGCTGAGTTGGTGCAGGCCAGGGGACACAAGAACAAACCATCTCCGCTCACTGCGGGCAGCTTCACTCAGCTGATACTGGGACTTCCTACCTGGATAACTGCTGACCCTGCCCCGAAAGAAGTCAGCTTATACTATAGCAAGCAGTACCAATTCCTGCAGAGCAGGCAGCGCTCCGGTTTGCTGAGAATTTGGGCTCTGTTGGAGCATCTGGAAAGCAAGCTGGTTTGTAAGACAGACCAAGGGGGGCAGGGGAGGAGTTGGTGGCAGGCACACCGGACTGTGTCACAATTCTGCCAGAGGGAACCCTGCTTCCTTTTGGTCCAGCCACAAGTTACTAGTCTCGGTGACCACGGGTGCCTCGATCCCTGTATCCCAGACCCCCTTGGGAAGCCACAATGTTAGGGTCAGGAGCCATTGTGGGCGCTGGCCATGAATGCAACTTTTGGGCCGGAGTTCTCAGCAAGCAAGCTGGACACATGGAACTCTGCTCCATGGCCCTGATTTTTGCTGCCATGAGTTGGGGGTGCTTATGGCCTTCCCCCTGATTAGACAAGGCCAGGCTAGAGGGCAGGGGGAGCTTGCAGGAGCAGCTGGTTGTTGCAGCAGGGAGGATTCCTGGCCCAGCAGAAGGAGAGCTGCAATGGGCCTTCTCAGCAGCAGGCCCCTCTGGCAGGTGCCCAGCAGCTGGGGGAGGTTGGAGTGGTTTGCAGCTCAGCAGTTCTTCCCAGGGTCCACTTACCCTGCCTGGCCAAGAACCTTCACCTGCCCTAGGCCTTTCACCAGCCTGCTGTTGAGGAACTTAGGTGAGGTTAATAATTCAGGCCTCCACAAGCCATGGGCCCCTGGGGTCAGCCTAACTCCCTGCCTCAGGGCTTGCTGTGAGTAGGGTCAGGGTCAGACAGGCCAGCACAAAGTGACACAGGCAACAGTCAGGCCCTAGCCCATCGCAGGAGGCAGGCCCTGCCTCACTAGGGCTCTCTCCGGACAGCATCTCCTGCCCTGTGCCAGCCAGCAGAAAGTCAGTGCCACAAGCTGGCAGATCCCAGGTGGGAGCGCTGAGCTGCCAGGTGCTTTGGGAACAGGATAAGGAAGGCTGGCCTGAGGAGCTTGGCCCATCCAACATACTTCAGAGAGGCCAGGCAGAGAAGGAACAAGGATGCAGCAGGCTACCCCTAGAGCCCTGAGCTGAGTAGAGTGTGCTCCTAGACAGGAGCATCAGCACATCACCACCAACTCCAGCTGCAGAGGAAGTGCCAGAGGAGTCAATGCTTCTGCCATAGCTGTATTTTCTACAGGCTCAATGGACTGGGGGATGGACCCTGCCCCCTAGTCTTATTCAGCCTCACTCACTTCTCCTTTGGATGCAAGTGGGAGGGGCACCGAACAGCCAACTGCTGCTCTGGCTGCTTCAGCCTGATCCGATCTGATCCAAAAGGTTTTAACCGGGTGCTGAGGACAGGTGAATGGCATGAAAGAGGTGGCAGCCCCAGGCTGATGGCAGGCAGGCAGTAAGTGGACATCCAGCTGAAGCCCACCCTGACACCACCCAAGATGAATAGAAATAGAGCCTTTGAGGCTATGGCCCTGCGCAGGAGATCTGGCTACAGAGCCAGGCTCTGCTGCCAACTCCTGAGACACCTGGGATAAGCCAGTGACTGTGCCTCAGTTCCCCATCTGTATTATGGGGAGGCTCCCGCACACAGGGCCAGGCCAGGGAAGTTCTTCATGAGAGATCAGAGACAGCATTCATTGCCAGGTGCGTGTGCGCTTGATGGCCAGTTCCCACTTGGGTCCCTCAGCCAGAAGCAGGAGCGAGGCATTATTGGAACCACACAGAATGGCAGGGCCAGGCCTCCGGGACTGCCTTCATAGCTAAAGTCACAGGAGTTAGAGCCCAGGCTGGCTCGCTAAGGCAGCTCTGGATGGCTGTCGCTGAGTGGCAGGAAGATGGGCTCTGAACGCGGAGCAGAGGTGAGGCATGCTGTGCCTCCTGGAGTGCATCTGGTGCACAGGGATCCCCTCCCTGACTGTGCTGCCCAGACTGGATTGTGTTTATAAGAGGTGAATTACCGCAAACTCAGAATAGGTGCTGGCAACAGAGTTAATGCTGTAGTTACGCTGGGCAGGGGCTGTGGGGGTGCACCCACCGCTCAGGGTGGTTCCATTCAACTGGGACATGTTCTCTTTGTTCCGTTCTGCTTGTGCCGTGCGAGGGGGCTTCATGGCCACGCGGCTGGGGGTCCGAGCTGGCTGGCCAAACTAGAGAGAAGGAAGCACTGATGGTTAGGACAGACATGAATAGAACATGGCAAGTACAGTAGTGCTGGCTTTGTTTCCCTTCCCAGTATCACCAAGCCAAAGGGATCCCCTGTGTCAGGGCTTGGAGCTCTGTGCTGGAACTCAGCTTTAAGTCCTGCCTTTTCCAGCTTCAGCCAGTCCCAGGGGCAACCCTGCTGGGGCAGATCCCATCATGCCTAGAGTCTGAGCTAAGGCACCGAAGCCAGCTACCAAACAATGCAGAGTGATGGAAATGCGCCATAAGGACTGCAGACACATATTCTGAATGTTATGGGCTTTCACACTGCCCAGAGCAGTGCTGGTCCCAGGGCATCAGGCCCTACACGAGCTTTACCTATCGCATTGGCAGCTTGCAGCTGACCACGGAATTTCCTTTAAACAAAGAAGCCCCTCCCCCAGCAGGAGCACCACGGGGCTCGGCAGCTCAGCAGGGCAGGGACTGCAGCTCAGTACGTACGCTGAGGGGAGCGACAGCCACTGAGGCAGCCAGAACTGCACATGGGAGAAGTTATTTTATACCTGCCTCCTCCACCCCAAGCTCACACACCCTCTGCCCAGTACTTAACCCTCTCCTGGGGCCTGTGCCTAGAAGAGCAGAGCTCCCTGGGGCACGGCACTGGGGTGCTGGAGCGAGAGGCAGCATGCGCTTACCTTGCCTCCGGAGGGCGGTGGGCGGGACGCCGGGGAGGGGAAGAGCGTCCCCCCAAAGGCGGAACGGAGTGTGCTGTTGGGAGTGGTACAGGAAGTTGCATTGAGCTGAAGGCAAAGCAGAAGTAGTTAGTGGTGGAGGCCCAGAGTGCATGCAGGGAAGTCCTTGGAAAGGAGGCCCATTTCCCTTTAATGGCGCCCCCCTATGTGGTAACCAGGGCATCAGTGGGGGGCGGGGGGGTAAGTCTCAGTTCAGCAACATCCACTGGGAGAATCCCAGCACACATGGCAGCTTTCCAGGGAAGGCTGTGGACAGAGCCCTCAGTGTTGGTGGGAGGGCTGCAGTCACTCCTCGGGGCAGGAGGTTGTGGACAGCTCTCTGGCTGCCATCAGCAAGGTCCTGCTCCTCTGGCCCCTTTATGGAGCCATAGCATTCCCAAGGGGCCTGACACGGGCAGCATTCTGTGCCATGGCTCTGGAGAGGCCAACCACTGGCAGCTCAGCAAGCACCGTTTTACTCCTACCACTCGAAGATGCCCAAGAACTGGGCTCCTTTAAGGAACACCAAGCTTGATACTTCTCCCAGCAAAGCAGCTGGGGTTTGCTGCTGTGCCAAGCTGGCAGCATGTCTCATTTACCTTCCTCACTTTGCCAGGTGTGTTGGCTCCTAGGACCCGCCGCTTGCTGGGTGTCCTCGGGGCAGTACCATATAACATCTCCTCCTCGATCTGACGACTCTTCTTCAGTTGCTACACAAGAGAGACATGTAGAGCTGGGCCCGGGTGAGGGCCATTGGAGAGGTGTGCACCAGCCCCAGGGATTCAGACAGTTACCTGCTCAAGGGCATCGAGGGCCAACTAAAGCCCAGCAATGCGGCACAGCATAGGGCCAGCGAGGGGAAAGCACTGAGCAAATCCCACGCAGCAGCACCTCACCCCTGCTTGCTGGAAAGCAGTGCAGGACGGGAGGACAGATGCCAGGCACTTGATGGCACAGCTATGAATTAGAGTTACCAAATCCCAGCTTACCGGCATCCAGGGAGAAGGAGCACAGTACGTGCTGGCCGAAGCCTGTGGGAGATGCTGATGCCATTAGCTTTGGCCACATGCAGACGAAGTGGCAAAGCTCTCTCCGCCCGAGAAGAGCAGTGAGAGGTTTGCCCACCCTGGCTCAGGCAGTGGGAAAGGGCCTGTCCCAGTGGCAGTGGAGAACACACCTGGCCCCCTCCTGGTGGGACTTCACTCTGTTCAGCTCTGCACTCACCCGTTCCTGTTTCTCCCTCTCTTTCTCCAGCCGATGTAGCTGCCATTGCTCGCTCACATATTCCATGAACCGCTGCCCATTCACCAAGAAGGCATCCTCATGCTCCCGTTCCCAGGCCTCAATTCGAACTTTCAGCTCCTCCTCCAGCTGGGTGGAGAGAGACAGTGAATGACTGCAGCAGAGCAGATCAGGCTGCAGTGACCCTAGCAGGCTGCCCCATCCAGCCTGGGATTTCCCAGAACCCATGACCTGCTTGGTCAGAGAGCCCTGCTTTATGCTGCCAACCAACCCACAGGGTTGCAAGCCTCAGTGATGGCATGCCAAGCCCACACCTGCCTCCCCACAAGCCTTGTGTTCAATGGCAGGCTGTGGTGTTCAGCTCCCATAGGCTGACAGGAGGGCCACCACCCCAGAGCAGCACGTACCTTGGGGAGAGTCTTCTGCAGTTTCGCTCGCTGCTTCTCTTCCTTCAGGAGGTTGCCCCCTCGGTTAGCAAAGCGACTTGGGTCTGTTGCTTTTCTCTAATGCACAGAAGGCCAATGATGAGGGAACCAAGCAGAGAGTTCACATCCCGACATGCCCACCTATGTCTCCGAGATGCCCTCCCACCCTGCCTGCAGTACCGCACTCAATCTCTCTTTGCCAGGCCACCCTCCAGTGAGATCCCCACATGTCCCCACCCCCCAGGTCACACTGCCCATCTCCCCACATTTTGCCTTGTGGGCACCCTGGCCTTCCTCAGCCCCCAGCACGCCCCAGAGCTAGGGTCAGTTTGTATGCTCCCTGCAGGGACAATACCTCCAGCTCCAGGAAAAGCCTCCAGTTTTCCTCCCATTTCTGAACAGCTTCAAAGAGCTCTTTGTGTGTCTTGTAATAATGCTTCACACGCTCCAGCTCAGTGTCGTGGTGCTGCAGCAGGGCCTCAGTGCAGTCCTCTGCAAAGAGATGGAGAGCAGAGTCACGGGGCACAAACACCAGGGATCCCAAACTCAGCAATGGGGCAGCAGCAGGCCAGGCTGTTGAACGGGAAGAGCACCCTGCGTGCCTTCAGCTTGGCTTCTGCACAGCTCCCTATGGGGCAGACAGAAAAACCAAGACCCAGCCCCAGGCCCCGACCTGGAAACCCCATACGCACCCTCGTAGTAAGGGGCAAAAGCCTGTCTCTGCTCAGTGCCATAAAAGCATTTGTCCCAGTAAGTGGCCAGCTCTGCTCTGATTGCTTCAATCACAGTCTTCATGTTCTGCAGCTTCAGCTCCTCCAGGCGGTCCACCTCGAACTGCAGCTAGAGACCAGAACATAGCAGGGAAATCCCTGGGCGTCAGGGCACAGCAGTACAGGGAGGGGGTTTTACTGGATGCTTCAGGGAGAACCAGCCTGGAGCGGCTGGGGATCGTTCCTGGTCCCAGGCAGCACAAGCCATCCTAGAACACAAGAGCCCCCAGGCACTAGCATCCATGGCCAGCTCTCAGAGGCAAGGCTTGCATCCCTCCCTTTACGCCAAGCAGCAGCCCCCTATGGCTCAGACCGGGCAAGATTTCCTTACAGCTTTCCTGGTTTTGGCTCTGGATCCGGTCATGTACGGGGCAAAGGATTCTCTCTCCTCCGCAGGCACCTGCAGCCTGTCCCAGAGCTCCACAATTCTGGAGCGCAGCTCACCGCAGACAGCTTCATTTAAAGCTCTCCGGGCCTCCAGCTAGAGCAGGGAAAGCAGAGGGTCAGCATTGCGCAGCTAGCAGGGGTAGCTCACTTCTGTTCAAGGGGGACTCATCAGAAGTACCTGCTCACTGCAAAGGCAAGAGCCCCCACGCCCCTTCAACTGTCCCCATTACAAGCCCTTTTCACCAGTGCCAGGACCATTTTACTGGAGCCATGCACTAAGAATCGCCCTACAGCATGGAAGACTTCATACCACGGTTCTCCATACCTGCTGCAGCAGCTCTTTAAGAGCAGCAATGTTCTCCATAGATAGGCAGAAGGCGTCCTCATCCTCACACACCACATCCCGCTCGAAGCTGGTGTCAGGGACATGATCCAGCTCCTCCATACATAGTATGATCTGCCGCTTGACGCTGACAAACTCCTCTCTCCTGCGCCCCTGGAGGCAGAAAGCAACAGTGCTAGAGGCCAGGAAGCATCAGGCCACAGAGGTTTCTCGCGCTCTCGGACACACATAGATACACCCCCCCGCCCCACACACACCCCAGACCTTCTCAGCAGCCAGTGCTGCCAGGTGGCGTCTGAAACGGTCGAGCTCCTCCAGGCTGGGCACAGAGTTGCTGTCGATGCTGTAGGGGGTCATGCAGAGAAGGTCACACAAGTCTTGGTCGCGTTCTTGCAGTGTTTTCAGCTCCTGCTTTCTCTCTCTCTTCTGCTTCAGCATCACTTCCAAGCGGGTGCGCAAGTCCTTCTCCAGCTGCAGAATGGTGCTCTCCTCCTCCTGAGAGAGCACAAGACATCAGCACTGCTCTGTACAGCAGCTCTAGCCAACGTGCATTGACCTGGTTAGTTTCTAGCTGACAGGGCAAGACACAAGGCCTCTATCCTCCCTGGATTCAGTTCAGAGCTAGTCCACCCACGGGCAGGCACTCCAGCAGGACAGCCCTTCCACAGACCAAGTAGATTGGCTGCGAGAAGCCAGGTCTGCAGCATGAGCCTGTGCCACCTCCACTCAGCCTGCAAGACCCTCTTGGTGGTCCAGAGCTCTGTGCTCCCTACGGCTCACTGATGAGCTCTAAGGAGACAGACTTTGGGAAAAAGCCAGTTTCTCCTGTGAGCAGAGGCCCTGCATGAGGCACCGGGGTGAGGACTAAGCCAGTAGAAGACAGTGTTACTAGACTGGATGGACAGGAGGGAGTCTCAGGGCCAGGCCTCGGAACTCACCTCAAATGGATCCAGCTGGAGCTCCTTGCAGAGAGTGTCCAGTTCCTTGCGACACATAGCAATGCTTTTCAGGAGACGATCCTTCAGGTTCTCCTCCTCAGCAACCATCATGTCCAGCAGACCCTGCAGCAGAGCGACAGTTAGTGTTGGCCCTAGAGGAGCAGTGGAGGATGTGTGGGAGAGCCAGAGAGGAGTGAATACCCTAAGCCTGGTGTCAGGAGGTTTGGAGCAGAGCCCACTCACACCCCTGACAGGCTGTGTAATGCTAAAGAGTAGCCTCTGGGCATGCTGGGCATAGAGCACAGTGCCCACTGCATGGACTGGAGTGAGATGTTTTACACGGGGCACAAGAGACACAGAAGGGAAATGCCAGGGCAGAGCTGCAGCAAGATCCCCCAATCCCTGTGCCCTGGTGAAGCAAAGAGACAAACACTGGATAGGGCTACATCTGCAGTCTGCTAGGAAGGACTGCTTCAGGGGCCGAGAGACAGGACTGTTAGTCTGAAGGGTCCTGACAGGGATTTTAAGGCACCCAAGCCATGAAGATCAGAACGTGAGGGCGACAGAAGCTGTGCAACAGGGGGTCTGGGCCTCTCTCCCAGAATGGGACAGGAGAGGAGAACAGTCTGCAATGTGATGGAGCAGGTACACAGCCCTAGGGGAGACGCTCTCTGTCCTGCTCTCCCACAGCCCTGAATGTTTCATGCCTGCCTTCCACCTTGCTCAGAGCCCCCTGGCCTGGGGAGTGGGTCCATTTTCCCACTGGGCACTGGCCATCTCAGTAACCCAGGGGAGGGGTGTGGGAGTCACCGAGTATCATTCCTGGACTCCAGATTGATCATCTGTGAAATGGGAATGGTACTTACAAGGCTTGAGAAACCCACTCGCCACAGGGGAGAGTATCTGGAGCAGCTGAAGTGAAGCAGAAAGGGGCAGTGGCTAACTCAAAAGAAGCAGAGGAGGAAGATTATCTGAGGGGAAAGGAGAATAGAGGAGGAGAGGGGAGAACTCTATGCAAGGGGAAGCCAGGGCGAGGGAAGAGCAGCGCAGGAAGAGGTAAGACGTATGGTGGCAGAGGAGGAAGAAGCAGAGTTCAGACAGAAGGTCCAAGAGCCAGGAAACAACAGAAAGCGGTTCAGGCTAATTCCAAGGAACAGGCTGTTGTGTGCATCTTTTGCAGGGTGTGGGGGCTAGGGCTGTGCAGGAGTTTGGACCCTGTCCAGTAGGCCTAGCAGGCACTGGGTACATTTTTCAAGGCTTGTTCTTACCATCTTTGTGAAACGTTTTCAGAGTTTTGGATGAAGACAATCGTAGGTGCCAGGGCATAGTTACAGGAGGACAAGAGCCGTGGGCACATTAGAGAAGCCAGCTATCCGGGAGCAATGCACACCTTTGGAGAGTGAGGGGCTATGTATGGCCCTGGGACCCAGAATAAGAGAAGCCAGGAAGATGGCTCTTGGGTGCTCTGGATCCGTCCTGGACGATAGCCAGCTGTTTCCACTGCCTCCCTCCAAGCAGGCCCTTCCAAAAGGGATATTTTTATCTGCCACTGGATGGCAGAGGTGTGTGTTTAGCACATGCATGATTAGAAATAGATGGCCAGCAGCAGGAGGAGGAACACTAGTCATCTATAGGGCAGGAAGGTAAGGGGGCTGGAATGGTTAGGTCCTATACTCTGCTGAAGACAGAGCTGGAAGGGACCCAAACAGATCTGCTGGTCATGCTAGAGCCTACACCCAGGATTGGACATGATTGGGCAGGGCTCTCCTGTATCATGCTGAGGAATACAGGGAGGCTGAAAGCCTGATACAATGACCTCTGGGCCATCCAAGTAGAACAGAGCTGGCCAGCAGGAACTGTTCAGAGCAGGGTAGGTTCTCACTAGTTGGCAGAGTCAATTCCCCTTCTAGACTGGCCAGTGCCGACTGCCTCTTTGCTAAGTAGCTGCAGTCAGCAGCACATAGTGGGGAAGTCATCAGATTTTCTGCAGTATCCATTGTATTTCTCCAGGCTCATGATTCTGAGGAGAGGCAGCGTAAGTCTAGCCAGAATAGAGCTCTCCTGAGCTGCCAGGAAAGACCTAAAGAGAAAACACAAATCTTGCCCTCCTTCCCCACCAGTGTCTCCCTGCCCAAGATAGGGCAGCTGCTTCCCTGCAGGCTGCTGGGGTCAGGTGGTACACACCTCGAGTTCATTCATCCCTTACAGTGTCTGGATACAGAGCAAACGGCGCTAGAGGGAAAAGTACTCACCTTGATGTGCTTCTTCACCACTTCTGTTCGTTGCAGTCGCTGTTCCTCAGGGATCCCAATCTCCTCCCAGATATCCCGAAGGTGACCCAGCGCTTTGTTCAGACATGCCACGGACTCTGCAGCCAGCACCTCGCTGAGGGAGGCAGGAGGGACAGTTGTAAAACACTTCCATCACAATCACTTCGCTTCAGCTTCACTGAAGAGGCGAGTACTAGTTTTTAGTCTCCTAGGAGATGGAATTGAGGGTTGAGTTTTAAAACATCTATTTGGACAAACTTGTTTGCATTCCTTTGGATAAGTTGTAAAAAGAGCTACTCTATTGCTGATGCGGCTGGAATTTGGAAAGACTCACGCAACAAAAATTCAAGCTGTGAGGAAGCAGAGGGATCAAGCACTTCACTTTCTCGCCAATATTCTCAATGCAAAGTACTAAGATATTATTCTTTAGTGTTGGTATTACCACAGCACCTAAGAGCCCCAGTCCCGGGCCAGGCACTGTACAAACACACAACAAAGAGACACTCCCTGCCCCAAGGAGCTTTAAGATGCCTAATGGATGAAAAGGAAGATGCTGTTATGACATGCACATATAACAATCACCCATTGCTCATTGCCAGCCATAGTAAATTTCAGGGCTGGAAGCAAACCACTCAGCTAATTATGCATTTGCTGCCAAAGCATTGAAGAAATTCACATGACAGTTTGCTCAAGTGCTAAACCAGCTTTTGACAGCACTATCCTCTTCTGCAGAAGCAGAGAGAACACTTTCTTCATTTGTATGAGTTCATTCAAAGTCGAGAAACTGACTGAGAATTTAAAGTTTGTTTTCCTCCTTCAACCTATAAATAAAAGTGAGGTGAGGGGATGAGATCTATCAGTTCTAAGAACTTGAAGGACATGATGTCCAGACACAGTCAGTTCAATTCATTAACTACAGTGACTCCCTCCTTTGGTCATAGAGTCAAAGTTTCTAGCCAGAAGCGACCACTAGATCATCTAGTCTGACCTCCTGTGTAATGCAGGCCCTTACATTTCACCCAGTCACCCCGACTGGGCCCAGTAACTTGTGTTTGGCAAATGCATGTTCCAGAAAGGCTCCAGTATGGATTGGAAGCCATCAAGAGATAGAGAATCCACTGCTGTCATTGGGAGTTTGGTCCAAGGGTTAATCACCCTCCCTGTTGAACATTTGTATCTAATTTGAATTCAGCTTCCAGCCATGGGCTCTTCTTTGAGCTGCGTCCCTATAGGTGTTCCACTAGGGAGACACATTTCAAAGAACCACCGTTACTGCACAGGGTGAAGAACCCTTTCTTCTCTTGTTCTGCTTGTCTCCTTGAGGTGAAAGATCTCTAAGTGCTCAGTATTTTCTCCCAGAGAAGGTCCTTATACACAGTAATCAAGTCACTTTTCAGTCTTTTTGATAAACTAAACATATTGAGCTCCAAGTCCCTCACTGAAGGGCATTTTCTCCAGCCCTGAAATAATTTTTCTGGTTCTTCACACACTCTGTCCCATTTTTCAACACCTCTTTAAAAATGTGGAAGTGCACATAATATTCCAGTACTGGTCTCACCAATGCTACATACAGGCGTAAAAATCACCTCCCTATTCCCCTGTTTACACATCCAATGACTGCATTAACCCTTGGTGCACAGGTAGTTCCTGTTGAGTTGCTCATCCAGTAGGACCCAAATCCTTTTCAGAATTACTGCTCTCCAGGATACAGGCCCCATTCTGTAGGTGTGCCTGGCATTCGTGTTCCTGGATGGATAACTTTACATTTGGCTGTATTAACACACATTTTGTTTGCAGATCACTGTTTGGCTGCCCTGTCCTCAACATTAGTTATCACCCCACCAATCTGTCTCATCTGCTAATTTTATCAGCAGTGATTTTATATTTACCTCCAGATCACTGATGAAAGTGCTGAATAGTATTGGGCTTAGTACTTATCCACATAGAACCCCACTAGAAACATCCCCATTCAATGATGATTCCCCATTTAGGACTACTTTGAGATCTGTCAGTTCTCCAGTTCTTAATCTATTTCATGTATGTTTTACTGATATCGCATAGTGCTTTACTTTTTTTTTTTTTAAACCGGGATGTTGTATGGTACTAACTCAATGTCTTCAAAAGTCTAAATTGACAAGTAACCTCAAAGAATGAAAGCAAGTGTGTTTGGCAAGGCCTATTTTTCATAAAACCATGTTGACTAGCATTATAGAATCACAGGACTAGATGACCTCTCGAGGTCCCTTCCAGTCCAGTCCCCTGCACTCATGGCAGGACTAAATATTATCTAGACCATCCCTGACAGGTGTTTGTCTAACCTGCTCTTAAAAATCTCCAATTGGAGATTCCACAACCTCCCTGGGCAATATATTCCAGTGCTTAACCACCCTGAGAGTTAGGAAACTTTTCCTAATGTCCAACCTAAACCTCCCTTGCTGCAATTTAAGCCCATTGCTTCTTGTCCTATCCTCATAGGTTAAGAAGAAGAACAATTCTGTAGTGGTAAACACCCATTTTTTTCATGCTTTGTGTGTATAAAAAGATCTTCTATACTTTCCACAGTATGCATCCGATGAAGTGAGCTGTAGCTCACGAAAGCTTATGCTCAAATAAATTGGTTAGTCTCTAAGGTGCCACAAGTACTCCTTTTCTTTTTGCGAATTCTTCTCATGTCTTGTTTCCAACACTCCTGCTAATACATCCCAGAATGATGTTCGCTTTTTTTGCCTTTAGTTACCAGTGGACTGAAAAGTTCTACTTCATCCTCCTAGGATACTAGTACATCATTCTGCTTCATGAAAAGTACTTCATCATCCTGCAGATCCTGTACTTGAAGATAAAAGGGACTTGCTGAGTATCTGATAAGTCAACATTTCTATCTATGAATGTGTCTCTCTTCCCTTGGTCACAAATTGTCAGTCCACTTCTTTGGTTCCTTCTTTCCAATTCTCTTATGGATGATCCTTCTCCTGGTGGCAATTATTTCTGAATCCGGCTGTCTAAGAAGTCTTTGCTTGGATGCTACGCAGCATTGAAATTTGCTCTCTCACATCATGTTTTCTCCACCAGAACTCTCTTTCTGGCAGAGAAGCAGGCAGAGCACATCCAAGGCATGTCACAGCAGTTTTGCATTCATTGTCCAGATCTTCACTACTTAGTGTGGAGCCATACCTGAAAGAGAAGGAACCACACTTCCTCCCCAACTCCCTTATTTGCTGCTCCTGTTCTGCTCAGGAGTTTGCCTGGAAACTGACAAGTCCTGAACCTCACTGCTCAGCTCCATCCCCTTGCTACCAGGGAGGGATAAACCACTTAGACTTCAAAAACCAGGGCTGGTCATAGACCCAAGGGTCCCAGCCACAAATAAAACTCTCATTGGGCTTGTTTAGGGACCCAGAGGCCAGCCACAATACCCTCATGGAGAACAAAATAGACCAAACACCATTGCCCAGGTGTCTTATCTTCAAGTACAGGATCTGCAGCTACACCCTCTTGTTATAAATATAAAGGGAAGGGTAACCACCTTTCTCTATACAGTACTATAAAATCCCTCCTGGCCAGAGACAAAACCCTTTCAGCTGTAAAGGGTTAAGAAGCTAAGGTAACCTAGCTGGCACCTGACCCAAAATAACCAATGAGAGGACAAGAATCTTTCAAATGGGGTGGGGGGAAACAAAGGGTCTGTTTGTATGATGCTTTTGCTGGGAAGAGATCAGGAAGGCAGCCTCAGAACTTCTGTTAAGTTAGTAAGTAATCTAGCTAGAAATGCGTTAGATTTCCTTTTGTTTAATGGCTGGTAAAATAAGCTGTGCTGAATGGAATGTATATTCCTGCTTGTGTGTCTTTTTGTAGCTTAAGGTTTTGAATCCGATTACCCTGTAAGGTATTTACCATCCTGATTTTACAGAGGTGATTCTTTTACCTTTTCTTTAATTAAAATTCTTCTTTTAAGAACCTAATTAATTTTTCATTGTTCTTAAGATCCAAGGGTTTGGGTCTGTGTTCACCTGTACAAATTGGTGAGGATTCTTATCAAGCCTTCCCCAGGAAAGGGGGTGCAGGGTTTGGGGGAAGATGTCTCCAAGTGGTCTCTTTCCCTGTTCTTTGTTTAAATTGCTTGGTGGTGGCAGCATACTGTTCAAGGACAAGGCAAAGTTTGTACCTTGGGGAAGTTTTTAACCTAAGCTGGTAAAAATAAGCTTAGGGGGTCTTGCATGCAGGTCCCCACATCTGTACCCTAGAGTTCAGCGGGGGGAAGGAACCTTAACACCTCCAAAACACGCTTATTTATTAAATCAGTTTTAAATGCAAAACATGTTTTGATAAGAAAAAAATAAGTTTATGTTCCCAGTACGTTTAAGATAATTTCTCTTAATTAACAAAAAGAGATTTTAAAATGCTGTTTTGTGCATTTTTAATTGAATTCCAGTGTTCATCCAAATGTCACAAGCAAATAAAATCTTCATCTGATAAGCGTCATTCACCATTTTCTAACATATTTAAAAATGAAGAATCTGAATAACTATTATATAATTGCCTAAGTATTTATAGCCCACATAAGAACAGGAGCATAATCATAAGAAGGGTTATACTGGGCCTGACCAATGGTCCATCTAGCCCTGTATCCGGTCTTCGGACAGCGGCCAAGGCCAGATGCTTGGGAGGGAATGAAAAGAACAGGCCCTCATCAAGCGATTCAGCCTCTATCCTCAAGTCCCAGCACCTGGCAGGCGGAAGCTCAGGGAGCCCAGAGCATGGTGCTGCATCCCGGACCACCTTGGCGAATAGCCGCTGGTGGACCTTATACGCCGGGAACTTCCCGGATTCTTTTTTGAGCCCGTATGTACCTGTGGCCTCCACAGCATCCCCTGGCAAGGAGTTCCACAGGTCGACTGGGCCTGGGCGAAGAAGTACCGCCTTGTGTTTGCTGCCTGTTAATTTCGGGGGGGGGGGGGCTGTTCTTGTGTTGTGAGGCGGAGTAAATAACGGGCGGCGCCTCCCCCCGCCCCCATCGCCGCGACCGCGCCCGGCCCGGGGCGGGAGGGCCCCAGTCTCTCCCATCGCGCCCAAGGGGGCCGAGTCCCCGAGGGCTCCCGCAGGGCTGGGCCCGGGCGCTCGCGGCGGCCCGGGTCACTCGGCTCGGGGCCCCGCCACGGCCGGGGCAGGCGGAGCCCGCGTCCCCGCTCGCGGGGCCGGCCCTGGGCGGCGGGGCGAGACCCCGGCCCCGAGCGGCCGCGGGCCCCGGACCGGACCCGACCGGACCCCGCCCCGCCCCCTCACCTCTTCCTCATGGCGGCGGCGGCGGCGCTCCCCGGCCCCTCGCTCCGCTCCGCGCCGCGCCCTCCGCCGCGAGCCGCCCGCCGACTCCGGCCGTCCTGATTCAAACTCCCCTCCCTGGCCAGCGCATTGGCTGCCGGGCTGCCCTACGTCACGGCAAGCCCCGCCTACAACCGCCGCTACGGCCCCGCCCCCGAGCGACCCCGCCGCCGGCAAACCGCGTCCCTCGCCCCGCCCCGCGGCGATCCCAACCAATAACCAGGAAGCTCCCCAGCGCCGTCAGCCAATGAAGAGGCAGTGACGAAGCGAGGCCGGACCCCCGCAGCGAGGAGGCGGGCCTGCGGCACGCTGGAAGCCTTCCGCGCAACGTGATCACGTGGCCGTCCAGCCCCGCCCCTCCCAGGCACGCGGTGCGGGATCTCTCGTTGCCCCCCCCGTCAGGCACACGACACCCCGGCACGCGGCGGAGGCAGCGCCCCGCCCCCACCTCTACGACTGCGGGGCCTCGCTCGCCCCCCCCGCCCACGGCCCATCCCCCGCCTTCACCGCACTGGGGAGGGGGCGCTGGGCTGGGGGGCTCGGAGGGGGCTCAGGTCAGGGATGAGGGGTTGGGGGTGCAGGAGGGGGCTCTGGGCTGGGGGGGTAGGGCCAGGGATGAGGGGTTTGGGGTGGAGGAGGGGGCTCAGGCCAGGCGGTTCGGGGTGCAGGAGGGGGCTCAGGTCAGGGATGAGGAGTTGGGGGCTCTGGGCTGGGGAGTTTACAGGGGGCTCAGGGGTAGGGGGTGCAGGAGGGGGCTCAGGTCAGGGGGTTTGGAATGGGGGAGGGGGCTCAAGCCAGGGATGAGGAGTTGGGGGTGGAGGAGGGGGCTCAGGGCGGGGGGTTGGGGGAGGAGGGGGCTCAGGTCAGGGATGAGGAGTTGGGGGTGGAGGAGGGGGTCGGGCTGGGGGTTCAGGGGGCTCAGGGGGGGGTTTGGAATGGGGGAGGGGGCTCAGGTCAGGGATGAGGGGTTCGGGGTGCAGGAGGGGACTCTGGGCTGGGGCTGAGGGGTAGGGCCAGGGATGAGGGGTTGGGGGTGGAGGAGGGGGCTCTGGGCTGGGGCTGAGGGGTAGGGCCAGGGATGAGGGGTTGGGGGTGGAGGAGGGGGCTCTGGGCTGGGGCTGAGGGGTAGGGCCAGGGATGAGGGGTTGGGGGTGCAGGAGAGGGCTCTGGGCTGGGGTTGAGGGGTAGGGGCAGGGATGAGGAGTTGGGGGTGGAGGAGGGGGCTCTGGGCTGGGGTTGAGGGGTAGGGCCAGGGATGAGGGGTTGGGGGTGCAGGAGAGGGCTCTGGGCTGGGGTTGAGGGGTAGGGCCAGGGATGAGGGATTGGGGGTGCAGGAGAGGGCTCTGGGCTGGGGCTGAGAGGGCTGGAAGGAGCTCAGGCCTGGGGAAGGGGCGGGTGGGAACAGGTTCTGGAAGGGAACTCAGGGCTGGGGTGCAGGTGGTGGGTCTGGGAAGGAGTTAGAGCGCAGGAGGGAATTCCGACCCGGGGTGGGGCTCCGGCTGGGCGACACTGACCTCAGGCAGCTCCCGAGCAGTAGGGCTAAGGCAGACACCCTGGCTCTGCTCTCAGAAGCAGCTGCGGCGCGAGCACTGGGGGCAGGGGCAGCATAGGGAGCTTCCTTGATCGCCCCTGGCCACTTCCAGGAGCTGCATACAGCCAGGGGAGGCAAAGAGCCTGCCTTAGCCCCGCTCCACCACCAACCGGACTTTTAACAGCCAGATCAACACCAGGGTCCCTTTTCAACTGGTCGAAAACCAGAGAGCTGGCAACCCTACTACACAGCCAGGACTGCCCCGCACCTTAGGGCCAGCTCGGCCCCTGTCTGCCATCTGCCCATAGCACACACACACACCCTCCCCCGCCCACCAGCACTCCGAGGCCTGGAGCAGCAGGGCTGGGGTGATCCCCTCAAGGCTAAACGCAGGTTTAACAGCCCTCCCTCCACTCCCCCACTCTAAGTTAACTCTCCCTCTAGCTTCTCCCCTACTCACTGCGGCAGTAAGTCCACCCACTCTCCAGCTGGGAATCATAGCAAGGGAAGGGAGCTGGAGTGGTCACCTAGTCCAGTCCCTGCACTCATGGTAGGGCTAAGCATTATGTAGCCCATTCTGACTGGAACTGCAGAGAATTCCAGCTGGGGGACCTTCCAACAGCTGCTTCAAAGGCTCCATGCAAGAGGATACCAGACCTTCTTAGAAATATACACAAGGGGCAGTAAGCAGCCCCAGGGATAAGAACCACAGCCCATTAGAGACCAGAGACACTGGGACTAGCCTGTTCCCACTTCCCTGCCCTGTGGTTAGATAAAGACAAGTGCTAAAGGCTGACCAAGTATATTTTATATGGTACAGATCAATGTACCACTATTACACATTTCTGCCAGTGCAATCCTACGCTATTCAAATCCCAGCCCCAACTCCACCCACACCCCTCTGCTGCTGCACCTCCAGTCTACCCCACAGTACCCCTGCTGGTCCACTCCCTTCCCCCTGCTTGGTCCATCAATCCAGACTAGAGCGGGTTGTGTTTGGTGCCAGAACAGGTAGGCTGTTCTGTGAAGTGAATGAACATAGCACTCAAAATTCAGGTAACAATGCAATTAATTTTTCACTGGAGTAGAAGCCAGCTCCCCCCTGCCTAGTTAACTTATCCAGGTGAACAGGCCTCAGAGCAGTGGAAGAAAGTAGTGCAGCTAACAGCCTGGAATGGCCCTATGGCTTCACCCGTGGCCCCAAGTACTGACATCTGTCCAAGGACGAGAAGGCAGCCAAGGGTGGGAGCCAGGGCACAAAACCCAAAAGGCCAGTGAGATCCCTTAACAAGCCACTGTCCCGATGGTGGAAGCACCAATACACCAAGCCCAGGGACTTGCCTGGACAGTGGGCCCAGGGGCTTGAAGCATGACAGAGACTCAAACACCCTGGGTCTAGGATTGGAGAAACAACAGCTTCTTCCCTCCTCTAGCCTCCCCAGAGACACGTCCCCCCACCCACTGAAGGTCTCTTCATCCATTTAAACCCCAATCTGCAGCCTTCGGGAAGCCCAAGGAGAGGCTCATGGCAGGATGGGCTCCGTGTCTGCCCTGCTCCGGCTGCTGATGTGTAACGCTTCAGTAGCACATGTGCAGCGCCTGGGCAGTCTCCACTGTGGAGCGTGATCCTGACTGGCACAAGCTGCTCTGCCAGGGCCGCAGCTCACCCTTGCCTCACACCTTCGCCTCTAACATGGCGTCCATCAGCCGGGCGCTGCTTGCGATGGCTGTCGTCAGGAATATAAACTTGTATCCTGAGAAATCCAAAGAGATGAAAGGAAAATGGAGGAGACCGAAGGGCAGAGAGAAGTGGGGCTGCCAGGCTGCAGCTGAACCCCTGCTAGCGTCTGGCACTGTCACCACTCAACAGAAGCAGCATCGCTATGCCAAGTACGGGGGAGACGCTCAGAGTGCTGCTGTGAGCGGGGTGGGGGAACGGGGTGTTAACTCCTCCAGGCAGGGAGACGCTGGGGCACCCAGAGCAGGCATCTGCCCAGGCCAAAGGCATGTGATGGGTCCTTCCCTAACAATTGTGCGTGGCCCCACTTGCACCGTAAGAGAGGTCTGTACCCCTCTGCACATGGACACAAGGCAGGAAGACTGGGGGGATGGTCCAAGGCTTTAACCTCCCCACTTTACCATGTCACAGCCTGAGAATTAGCCTCTGTGGCAGCAGCAGGTCTGGTTTCAGTAGCCAATGGCACAGTGCTAACTCACTGAGTCTGTGCCATGGGGTTATACTCTGGGTCTCTTTCAGAGAGGGAGATGGGCAGTTTCTGGCTGCCCAATTCTTCGTCCCCAGCAGTGGAGGAGACAGTAACCCAGTGTCCTGGCTGGTACCTTTCTCCTTCCCCAGGAATCGGAGAGCAGAGATCTCAGAAAAGGTGCAGCCTCCCAGGAAGACTGCTAGGATGACACGCTGCACCTCCCAGGCAGGATTCTCCTCCGTGACCGGCTCTGGAAGGAGCAGAGGATGAAGTGGAACAGCTCCCCAAGTCCCCCCCGCAGCGATCCCAGGAGCAGGTATTACCTGTAGGAGCAAACTCATTGCCATTCAGCAGGCGCACCACCTCCTCCAGGCCCAGCCAGCCCTTGCGCTCCAGCACCTGAAAGGAGATGCATAGGGGACAGTCTGCCAAGGGCAGGGGAAGCAGAAGAGCACCATGTGGCAATGGGAGCGACTTAGGCCCAGAGCAGAGTAAGAGATCAGCTGCCAACCCAGGGGAGGAATAAAGGGCACAGGACGAGCAGGCAGGCACTCCGGTGCCTCACCTCTCCAGGAGCAGGTTGGAGACATTTCTAGCCCAGCCAGGGGGCCGTAGTCCCAAGCAGAGGCAGGCACCTGTGGCCTACCCAGCAGGGGGATCTGCGGGGCAGCACAGCCAGACCCACAAGGGCACCACAGAGCAGGAGACGCACAAACCTGACTGCTCCCAAGGAAGATGGAACCCCATGTGACAAGTGACAGGAGCTCCCTGCGCCCCACAGCATGGGCAGCTCTTGTCCCCCGGGGTGGGGTGCGCACAGCTAGACTCACCTGTTCAATGATCTTGCAGCTCAGGGGGACGTAGGCCCCACTGAAGACATAGGCCATGTCTCGGGGCACCTTCAGGTTGTATTCACCATCAACACGGGGGATCTGCAGAGACAGGCACGTTACACCCCCCAACAGTGAATGAGCTATCGGTGTTCTCTGGGAGCAGAGGCTCTGGTCTGGACCACCCATGGGTGCACCCTTTGGAGTGCACAAATACATGAGACACTGACCTGGCTGCTCTGGGCAGGACAGTCCCCAGCCAGCTAGCGAAGATCCAGTGCCAAGCAGGCGAGCCTCGCACTGTTGTCAATGCAGCAAACTTGGGCCCTGGCAGCCAGCCGGAAGGTGCGAGTTCCACTGCCAGGGACCACCAGGACACGCCTCTCTGCTGCTCTCAGCCACTGACGGGGCACGGGACGAGCAAAAGCCCCTAACCACACAGGCCCTTTCCAGACTACAACTGCAGCCTGGAATTCTCTCCAGAAGCCTATGGGAAGCCAGGCCAGCTCCTGGAGTGCAGGCACAGTGTG